GGTTTTGTTAGGAGAAATTTTATTCTATTGACATTACCAACCTGAAGAAAATATCCCAAAATATCAAGCTTTGCTTTAAAAATGCCTTTCATGTACAACAGAAATATGTTTTCCTACTACACACTACAAAAGGAAACACATTGTTATAACATACAAACACTAATATCATCATTCTGTATTGTTACACTATATACTAGTAATAACACTACCACAGAAACAGAGATATACGACTCATTGCCATAGAAAGATGTAAAATCTCACACCACCAAAACTACATGAAATTATACCACACACCACTACAACTAGATATATCTATACCACACACCACCACAACTAGACATATTTATACCACACACCACCTCAACTAGATATATTTATACCTCACACCACTACACCTTTAAGTAGTTATACCACAGAAATACATTGATATGCAAAACCATACACCTGGAATATATTTTACATTTAATTAGTTTTTAATGTTTTCCGTAATTTTGGTTATGTCTTCCGTTTTCATTTTGTTATTTCCTACTTACAGCGATGCACATGGTTGCTTTTCTCACCACCACATCTCTCATGACATTATCCTTCGGAATGATAAATAGGGGGCATGGTGTATCTCCATCGGATTCACATGATGGTCCACTGAAACGTTCAACTGCAGTCCCATTCCCTACGGGACGGCCATATCCAAATATTATGACGTCAGACCCTATTGATACAGACTTCCCTCCGGTTAACCAAGAACCCGCTAAAGACGAAACAGAGGCTGATCATTCCACGATGTCACCAATCAAACCAATACATGTTGTTTCTCATCCAATTCCTGTGAAAGAGGTCACAAGCAGTATCAATATTAACAACAGCCTAACACTATCACCACTACCAGAACGAGTGACTTTCCCGAAACGCAGGCGAGTGAACTCTGGCTTCCGGACAACTCCTGTGTACATCATCGTTTTCTTTTGTGTCATCATGACGTACGAAAACTGTACTTACTGAAATACATATATATGTCGTTTATGCCAGTGTTTCTATTGTTGTGCGTATACTGTACTTATATTGAACAACAGGCATATATATCGTTTTACAAGTGATTCTCTCGTACGTACACAGCTTACATTGAACAAAAGATATATACCTCGTTTGTGTAAGTGCTTACATTGAACAAAAGAGATATAAACCGCGTTTGTGCAAGTGCTTACATTGAACAATAGAGATATACCTCGTTTGTGTAAGTGCTTACATTGAACAATAGAGATATATACCGCGTTTGTGCAAGTGCTTACATTGAACAATAGAGATATACCTCGTTTGTGTAAGTGCTTACATTGAACAATAGAGATATATACCGCGTTTGTGCAAGTGCTTACATTGAACAATAGAGATATATACCGCGTTTGTGTAAGTGCTTACATTGAACAATAGAGATATATACCTCGTTTGTGCAAGTGCTTACATTGAACAAAAGATATATACCGCGTTTGTGTAAGTGCTTACATTGAACAAAAGAGATATAAACCGCGTTTGTGCAAGTGCTTACATTGAACAATAGAGATATACCTCGTTTGTGTAAGTGCTTACATTGAACAATAGAGATATATACCGCGTTTGTGCAAGTGCTTACATTGAACAATAGAGATATATACCGCGTTTGTGTAAGTGCTTACATTGAACAATAGAGATATATACCGCGTTTGTGCAAGTGCTTACATTGAACAATAGAGATATACCTCGTTTGTGCAAGTGCTTACATTGAACAATAGAGATATATACCGCGTTTGTGCAAGTGCTTACATTGAACAATAGAGATATATACCGCGTTTGTGTAAGTGCTTACATTGAACAATAGAGATATATACCGCGTTTGTGCAAGTGTTTCTATTGTTATACGTACACTGTACTTATATTGAACAATACAGTCGTGTTTTGTGTGTGCTGGTACTTTCATCCTTCTCCATGGTTCATCTCTACGTTTCTTGTTGTCTTCTTGTGATGTATAATTGAGTGTGTAACAATGGTTCTTGCAGTTTTTAAAACATTTTCCTCCTTTCTGATTTACTCTAAAAATCAGGTTTGTTGGCTTACTTTTCCCCTTGTTTCTGTTTTCAATCTTTATTGTGTATAACGTCAGGAAGCTTATTCCCAGTGAATTTGCTAGCCTGTTCAGTTCTGCTATATCTATTCCTTTCGTTCTGATCATATAGTCCGATGTTCATTCCCGAAGATGAAAATTTGGTAATTAGGTAATTTCATTTAAGTCCTCCTTCTTTAAAGTCAGCATATATAATAAATACTTCCCTTTATATCGATATATCGAGGAAATTGTGATAATCACTATGAAATATTCGTCATATTACAGTAACTTGTGTCCAGGCCGACAATACTAATGTATTAACTGTATACCTACACCTTGTGTACATACTAACCTTATTCCAGTGACTGTACACCTACACCTTGTGTACATACTGACCTTATTCCAGTAACTGTACACCTACACCTTGTGTACATACTAACCTTACTCTAGTAACTGTACACCTACATCTTGTGTACAGACTGTCCTTACTCCAGTAACTGTACACCTACATCTTGTGTACAGACTGTCCTTACTCCAGTAACTGTACACCTACATCTTGTGTACAGACTGGACTTATTCCAGTAACTGTACACCTACATCTTGTGTACAGACTGTCCTTACTCCAGTAACTGTACACCTACATCTTGTGCACAGGCTGACATTCCAGTGATTGTACACCAACATCTTGTGTACTGACTGTCCTTACTCCAGTAACTGTACACCTACATCTTGTGTACAGACCGACATTATTCCAGTTACTTCACCTACATTTGTGTACACTGTCCTTACGCTAGTAACTGTACACCTAAATCTTGTGTACAGACCGACCTTATGCCAGTGACTACACCTACATTTGTGTACAGACTGTCCTTACTCCAGTGACTGTAGACCGACATCTTGTGTACAGACCGACCCTATTCCGGTAACTGTACACCTACACCTTATGTACATACCAACCTTTTTCCAGTAACTGTACACCTACATCTTGTGTACAGACCGACCTTACTCTGTACACCTACACCTTGTGTATATACTGACCTTACTCTGTACACCTACACCTTGTGTACAGACCGACCTTATTCTGTACACCTACACCTTGTGTATATACTGACCTTATTCTGTACACCTACACCTTGTGTACAGACTGACCTTATTCCAGTGACTGTACACCAACATCTTGTGTACAGACTGCCCTTACTCTAGTAACTGTACACCTACATCTTGTGTACAGACCGACCTTATTCCAGTTACTTCACCTACATTTGTGTACAGACTATCCTTACTCCAGTTACTGTACACCTACATCTTGTGTACATACTGACCTTACTCTGTACACCTACACCTTGTGCACAGACTGACCTTATTCCAGTGACTGTACACCTACATACCGACCTTACTCCAGTAACTGTACACCTACAACTTGTGTACAGACCGACCTTACTCTGTACACCTACACCTTGTGTACAGACCGACCTTATTCTGTATACCTACACCTTGTGTATATACTGACCTTATTCTGTACACCTACACCTTGTGCACAGACTGGACTTATTCCAGTAACTGTACACCTACATCTTATGTACAGACTGACCTTATTCCAGTAACTGTACACCTACATCTTGTGCACAGACTGGACTTATTCCAGTAACTGTACACCTACACCTTGTGTACAGACTGACCTTATTCCAGTGACTGTACACCAACATCTTGTGTACAGACTGCCCTTACTCTAGTAACTGTACACCTACATCTTGTGTACAGACCGACCTTATTCCAGTTACTTCACCTACATTTGTGTACAGACTATCCTTACTCCAGTTACTGTACACCTACATCTTGTGTACATACTGACCTTACTCTGTACACCTACACCTTGTGCACAGACTGACCTTATTCCAGTGACTGTACACCTACATACCGACCTTACTCCAGTAACTGTACACCTACAACTTGTGTACAGACCGACCTTACTCTGTACACCTACACCTTGTGTACAGACCGACCTTATTCTGTATACCTACACCTTGTGTATATACTGACCTTATTCTGTACACCTACACCTTGTGCACAGACTGGACTTATTCCAGTAACTGTACACCTACATCTTATGTACAGACTGACCTTATTCCAGTAACTGTACACCTACATCTTGTGCACAGACTGGACTTATTCCAGTAACTGTACACCTACACCTTGTGTACAGACTGACCTTATTCCAGTGACTGTACACCTACATCTTGTGTACATAATGACCTTACTCCAGTGACTGTACACCTACAACTTGTGTACAGACCGACCTTACTCTGTACACCTACACCTTGTGCACAGACTGGACTTATTCCAGTAACTGTACACCGACATCTTGTGTGCAGACTGACCTTATTCCAGTAACTGTACACCAACATCTTGTGTACAGACTGGACTTATTCCAGTAACTGTACACCTACATCTTGTGTACAGACTGACCTTATTCCAGTGACTGTACACCTACACCTTGTGTACATACTGACCTTACTCCAGTGACTGTACACCTACAACTTGTGTACAGACCGACCTTATTCCAGTAACTGTACACCGACATCTTGTGTGCAGACTGACCTTATTCCAGTAACTGTACACCAACATCTTGTGTACAGACTGTCCTTACTCCAGTGACTGTACACCTACACCTTGTGTACATACTGACCTTATTCCAGTGACTGTACACCTACATTTTGTGTACAGACCGACCTGAAACAAATTGATGTAATGTAAACCTACACCTGTTTATTTGAATCCTGGCATTCTATTTCATTTTTGTATGCATGAGCACTGTTGCAGCTCTGAATGTTTTGTTTTGTCATTTTTGTCAAATGTATTCATTAATGCTTAAATATTCAGGAAATACATATTATTATAAGCAGAACAAAGAATAAATAAAGACTACTTCTATATTAAAGTTGTTTTATTCATCCATACATTAACTTTCTGACCCCTTCACTTTATACATCCCCATCCATACACATTCTCACTTCCAAAGAATCAACACACAATGTGTCATTTTGTATAACTTTGATACTGTGGAATTCAAAAAAAAACCTGACAGAAAACTTAGTATCTGTGAAATTCACATGCACACATTTATGTATATCAAACTTCAAAACCTGGTACATATTTTGTAATTTCGATCCATTATAATTATTCGTTTGACAGAAAAAATCATTATTTCTAGTCAGTGCATTGGATCCTCCCAATATTACATTATACTGCTCATTTTACAAAGCACTTCCATTAACCAAGAACAAAAAGAAATATATAATGTAGTACATTAAGTACGATGAAATAGTTTAAATATCTTAAACACTCTGTTTTTAACTTCATACCCTTCAAACTTCAACTGCATCTTTTGAACAATATAAATAATATTATCAGTCAACCATCAAGAAAGATGGTAAGTGTTATGTACAGTTAAATACAATATACATCAGACAGCCACTTTCTTATATTTTTTAGTCACGTTTATATTTATTTACATGACCACTCTCCTTTTCTCATTGACTGAATCAAAGTACACATAACATGACCTTAACAGGAGCAGCAAATTATGCAACTTTCACTTTCACTTTTACTGCCTTAAACTAAAAATAAACATCATTATCTTCATGATATTAAAAGACAGAGCACTTTCATTCAATTTCAACTCCCACAATTGGATTTAAACCAGTTTCAACCAGTAAAATGATATTTTGTACCTCGTACAATCTCAATTACCTTACATCAAAACCTTAAAACACAATTTCAATAACGTTCTGTAGATGATTTTATCTGCCTCTAACTGTGAAAACTAGTGGAATCATAAAACAGTAGAAGTTACATATTCTTCTTCATTGTTATGTCAGATTTGAGATATATATAATCAAACTGCCTGTGGCAGTATCTGGTAATAAAGACACAGTCAGCATTTACTGACACAATTGCAAAAAGAAATCACCAAAAAATAATCCAGGCATAATTTTAAGAAATATTCTACTGAGTTGCAGACTTGCATATTTTACAGACATTATTACTTGGAGTAAGCCTTGTCTGGATTTGGCTAATTGTGTGGGATAAAGTGTAAATTATAATTTATATCATTCCTAAGTAAAGTCTGGTGTGAAACTTCCTCATCTTGAAATACTGTTATTTTCCGAAATTGTGCTGCCTGGTCTGAAAACTATTCCCTCCAACAAAGTCATGTTCACAGACACATCCATCTAACAAGGAAGTTCTACAGAGACAAATACAGAGTCATTGTTCCACAAACCATCTGAATATCTGAAGACAATTTGTATGACTTGCCAAGTGTCAAGGAGATGTTATCCAGCCTGTATACATTGCCGTGATCCCAGTCTATATAAATCACACTATGGTTGTATATGGTACAGCTCCATCAATCTTCAAGAAACTCTTCGTCTAAATTCACATCCTGGGAAAACAAAAAGATACTTGATGTTCATGGTCTATGTTTACAGAATGGATTTTTTAATAAGACTAAATACAAAGTCATATGTAAGGCGGTGTAAGTTAGTACAGGATACAATGTAATGAGTAGCATTGGTTATATAAAATAAAATTAACATATCCCTCAGTTTTTTTCTCCAAATTCTACATGATTCCCAATCAATCAACACTGATATGAAGAACACTGTCATTAAAACAGAAGTCATCTCTAATGCACGGGAGTTTCCTCCCTTCTTGGAATCTTGCATACCATGGTAAAATAGATTAAATTTGGTTAATATGATTTCCGAGGCATGTGATCCAGCACTGCAGTGAAAAACATGTTTAAAAGAAGAAAAATAAAATCTTTCAACAATTTTTATCTTTCTATTAATGTTCTTATAATGAAACAGCACTGCTGCTGGGCAATAGAGTGTAAACGACATTTTCCAAACCAAAGATTCACTTGAATATTCATCACATTGTTGGTTTCCTGATTACGTCATTGGTTTAAATTTTTTATAGAATTTTTTCCTGATAACAAGTGATACATAAGGACAGACAGACAGATGAATAGACAGACAGACAGATAAATGGTTTTGGTTTCTTAGAGAAGAAATTGTTGGAAAATTGACCCCTGTGATCTAGATCTTGATTCTAGTGCTTTTGGTTCAGAAGAATTTGTTTAAATGTTTCATCAACTTTGACTTATGAGACCTTGAACATAGGTCAAGGACATTTCTTGTCGCAAACTTTGTTGGGTCTCATGCCAGAAACCTTTCATTTAAATACAATGATTATGATTTTAGGAAATACGGTTATTCAGAAGAATATGCTTTAAGGGAAAAGTTGATGCCAGACAGATAACAAATGTCACACCACCACATTAACTCATTTAACCCTTACATACTTAATAAGTCATATTTCAAATTGTGATCTGAACAAATATTAAGCTAAGAAAACAAAATAGTTAAAATCTTCATTGAAATAAAATTCTTGTAGAGATGACAGAAATAGCTTTTTTTTTTAAATTGCATTAACAAACAGAACTTTTTTTTGTTATTGAACATAACTTTGAAATATATTTACAACAAGTATAGAAATATCTTATGATTTGCACTGAAACATTTATGATTGAAGAAACTTTTCAGCAGTTATTTAATTACTCGCTAATAATGGCATGTTGATAATTCTTTAAAACAAGAAGAAACCATTACAAGTGAATACCAGTAATATTTTACAAAACAATGTTGTGTACAGAAGAACAGGTGGTTGTATTACCAGTAGTAGGTAGTAATTATTATTCACACTAACCGTCACACTCCCTACAAATAACTGGTTAAGATAGTATTACAATGTAACAAAGACAGGCTGTTAATGTGTAGAATTATCACCACTGTAAATCACCAGCTGTTATATAAGGCATGATCATGGGATTGCATGCATCATCATCAAGCATTCAATTTACCTATATCATTACAAAAATTCAGTAAAATTATATGTTCTGCTCTGCCCAATTTCTGACTTCATCATTTGACACGGCAGGCAAAACATTACGCAAATAATTCTGTCTGAATCAACATAAAGCCTATACATTATTTACTGATGATGTTCAAAAAAATTTCACGTCAAGTAAAATCCTAAATCCTAAAAATTGTTAATTTTTTTTTAAATTTTTATTCCCAACAAACAGATCTCAATTGAACAAACATTGGCAGTATGATATTGGTTGTATTTTCCAACAGAAATCAAGACAATTCAGCAAAATTACAGTCCCTCGCAAAGATAAACCTATAAGAAAAGCAGAAATTCTGGTGAATAGTGGTGTACATTGGAGATAAAACCTGGACAAACATTTCCTTTTTTATATATGTCAAATGTCAAAATGTAGGTCACAATGTATTACTTTTGATTTGTGACACACCGTCTCACCAAGGTGAACAAATATTCCAAATATTACTATTTTCATTTTTTCTCTCTTTTCATTTTATCATTCAAAAGCACCTATAACATCCTTTATTTTAATTCTAAAATTTTATTGATGATGTTGTGTTGCAGAAATATCCACATAATCTTGAGTGTTAAACCTTAAATTTAGTGTTAAAAGGCTTAGTATGATTTTTTTTATTGACTTCATCTAAACCCAACAGGTGTATATAGAATATTATATTTCAGTGAGATAATATCAGTTTCAAAATGAACATGCTCAATACATTTCTGCACATGGATTAAATTTTGCTGTCATTTCAAATATGGTAAACTAGTTGCATCAAAATGTCTATAAACAAAATGAATCACGTATGTACAACATCTCACTAAATTATCCATCTCCACCAAGATATAAAACCACCATTACCGATAACAAACTTTTCACATTTCTAACCTATGTTGTATTAGCCCCACTGAAAGGCTAAAAGATTGTTTAATATCCATGAAAATTGAAATCTTAAGTATACAACTACCCAACTAAAAAAAAAATTCATATACAGATACAAAGTATAAAAGTCATACATAAATTATGTTCATTTCCACTCTACCAAGATATTCATTTACAAAAATAATCCCAGCCCAATCACAAGCTAGATTAAATTGAATGTAAAATGTATATAACATGTTAAACAGCAGAATGTCACAGGATCTAACCTAGAGAAACAGAATGTCACAGGATCTAACCTAGAGAAACAGAATGTCACAGGATCTAACCTAGAGAAACAGAATGTCACAGGATCTAACCTAGAGAAACAGAATGTCACAGGATCTAACCTAGAGAAACAGAATGTCACAGGATCTAACCTAGAGAAACAGAATGTCACAGGATCTAACCTAGAGAAGCAGGATTTAATAAACACCAGCAAGATGACCCTGGATTTAAAAAACACCAGCAGGATGACCCAGGATTTAATAAACACCAGCAGGATGACCAGGATTTAATAAACACCAGCAGGATGACCAGGATTTAATAAACACCAGCAGGATGACCCTGGATTTAATAAACATCAACAGGATGACCCTGGATTTAATAAACATCAACAGGATGACCCTGGATTTAATAAGCACCAGCAGGATAACCCAGGATTTAATAAACACCAGCAGGATGACCCTGGATTTAATAAACATCAACAGGATGACCCTGGATTTAATAAACATCAACAGGATGACCCAGGATTTAATAAGCACCAGCAGGATAACCCAGGATTTAATCAACACCAGCAGGATGACCAGGATTTAATAAACACCAGCAAGAGAGTCTTATCAAATAGTTATAAAAGTAAGGTCAGCCCAAAATCAAGACCTTGATATCATGAGCATAACATTAATAACAACACAAAGTGTTGAAGAACTTGTCACCATCACATCTGAATGTGAATCATGAGTAAGATGAAAACAAAGATATAATGTCTATTGCGTACAGGAAGATAACTTTGATGATGTGAATTAATATCAGATTCAACACAGAACAACAAACATCTTCTGGTAAGAAATCTGTTTTGACAAAGCATGCATACATTCTTTTAACAAAGGTAAACTCCTTTTCATAAAGTTACAGATTTCAAAACATTGAATTATATGGTGTGGTACAGTTGGAGTAATTTGTGAAAAGCATGTTATATAGGTGTATTAATGACAGTGCATTGATCTAGTGATACTCATACTCTCATCAGTAACAAACACATTATACATGATAATTGTAGGCCTCAATTAGCATCAGCTTAGCAGATTAGTAATTATCTAAGCTACACGGATAGTTTCATTGCTTCTACCAGATTCTCTGTCTACAGACACTGGAATAAAAAGTGACGTCTAAACCAGGTACGACATTTCAACACTTTTTTTTTCATTTCTGATTTGCCAGCATGTAAAGTTGATACTTTAGGGAAGCATTTTGATGCAACATAAGTATTGAAAGTTAAATCATCTATAAACAGTTAATTTTGGTATACAAACACTTAGCATGGAAATTAGACCAAAAAGAAAAAAAGTGTGTTTTTATTTATTAATTATTAATGGTTTTTTTTTTCAATTTCTTTTGTTGTCATCCATATTTCCTTTTGACAGACAAATCGTAAGTAATTTCAATATTTACACCCAAATTTAACCTCAGGGCTTTGTAAAAATAAAAACATCTAACAGTGAAACAAGTGAAAAATAGGTATATCTCGGAAGTTGACTGGCTATCCTCAGTATGTTACTACATCATTGCTCCTACAGAACACCCATGTCAAACATTAGCAGACATTTCTGAGGATAAAGATTAATGATGATCAGTTCTGTAACTTGATGCTTTAAGCAGATATGCAGCATAATGAGAATATATAATTTGTAATTGGGTTGAATATTAGTATGTTAAACACCACAAACATGGAAGATAACTATCACCATTAAAAAGAATCTACTATTACTGGTATGATTTCAATAACTGTTGTGCCCATCAAAGTAGCTATTCTGTCACCATCGTCAGTGGCCCATCAAAGTAGCTATTCTGTCATTGTCAGTGGCCCATCAAAGTAGCTATTCTTTCATTGTCAGTGGCCCATCAAAGTAGCTATTCTGTCATCATCAGTGGCCCATCAAAGTAGCTATTCTGTCATTGACAGTGGCCCATCAAAGTAGCTATTCTGTCACCATCGTCAGTGGCCAATTATAGTAGCTATTCTGTCACCATCAGTGGCCCATCAAAGTAGCTATTTTGTCATCGTCAGTGGCCCATCAGAGTAGCTATTCTGTCACCATCAGTGGCCCATCAAAGTAGCTATTCTGTCACCATCAGTGGCCCATCAAAGTAGCTATTCTGTCACCATCAGTGGCCCATCAAAGTAGCTATTCTGTCACCATCAGTGGCCCATCAATTAGCCAATCTGTCATAGTCAGTGGCCCATCAAAGTAGCTATTCTGTCATCGTCAGTGGCCCATCAAAGTAGCTATTCTGTCACCATCAGTGGCCCATCAAAGTAGCCAATCTGTCATCGTCAGTGGCCCATCAAAGTAGCTATTCTGTCATTGTCAGTGGCCCATCAAAGTAGCTATTCTGTCACCATCAGTGGCCCATCAAAGTAGCTATTCTGTCATTGTCAGTGGCCCATCAAAGTAGCTATTCTGTCACCATTGTCAGTGGCCCATCAAAGTAGCTATTCTGTCACCATCGTCAGTGGCCAATTATAGTAGCTATTCTGTCACCATCAGTGGCCCATCAAAGTAGCTATTTTGTCATCGTCAGTGGCCCATCAAAGTAGCTATTCTGTCACCATCAGTGGCCCATCAAAGTAGCTATTCTGTCACCATCAGTGGCCCATCAAAGTAGCTATTCTGTCACCATCAGTGGCCCATCAAAGTAGCTATTCTGTCACCATCAGTGGCCCATCAATTAGCCAATCTGTCATCGTCAGTGGCCCATCAAAGTAGCTATTCTGTCATCGTCAGTGGCCCATCAAAGTAGCTATTCTGTCACCATCAGTGGCCCATCAAAGTAGCCAATCTGTCATCGTCAGTGGCCCATCAAAGTAGCTATTCTGTCATTGTCAGTGGCCCATCAAAGTAGCTATTCTGTCACCATCAGTGGCCCATCAAAGTAGCTATTCTGTCATTGTCAGTGGCCCATCAAAGTAGCTATTCTGTCATCATCAGTGGCCCATCAAAGCATCTCTTTGTCATCGTCAGTGACTCATCATCAGTAGTTTTTCATTATGCCATCGTCCGGTCAATGTAGCTAATAGTTTCTGTCTTTGGTCAATCAATATAAAAAATTTGTCAAAAAAAAAGCCCCTGTCCAAATCAATGTCTAAAAATGAAATAACTGTTCTATGTAGATAAAGCATTCAAGCTAACACAAAAGGCAACTAAGAAACCAAAAGTAAACCAGTGGTATGCAAAAATAAATCATTCCGTGACTAGCTTACCTCCTCATTGGGTATTTCTTTGTCATCTACTGCCTACAAAGAGACGGGGTTATTGTGGTTTTTTTTTTTTTTTTTTTTTTTTTTTTTTTTTTTTTTTTTTTTTTTTTTTTTTTTTTTTGTTTCTAACTTTTTGTTTTTAGGGGATTTTTCGATATTAGTTTATATTATGGCAGATTAGAAGAGTTATTAAACTGTAAAATATATATTATAATTAAATCAACAACCCAAATCCCAGCAAAAGAAACAGTGCAATGAAAACAATAAAGCAGTAAAGAAAACACACAAAGAGCTCTCAACCTGCTGAAACACCAAAATTCAGGGGATATTTTTATTGATGAAAGATGTTGCATGTTTTGTCAATAATCCTCCTCCCACCAAAACCCTTTAAGGTATTCAATAACGGTCACAAATTTTAACATAAGTGGTTCTATGAAATCAATACTGACATTTAGTTCAGGACGAGTCACAAAGATATATTGAAGAAAACAGATTGGCTGCAACAGAAATTTAAGTAAAAGACTTGTGACTAACATCGCAGTAAACCTGTGGCTAACTTAAAAGAAGACTTGGTTAACTTAGTAGGAGACTTGTGGTTAACTTAGTAGGAGAATTGTGGTTAACTTAGTAGGAGACTTGTGGTTAACTTAGTAGGAGAATTGTGGTTAACTTAGTAGGAGACTTGTGGTTAACTTAGTAGGAGACTTGTGGTTAACTTAGTAGGAGACTTGTGGTTAACTTAGTAGGAGACTTGTGGTTAACTTAGTAGGAGAATTGTGGTTAACTTAGTAGGAGACTTGTGGTTAACTTAGTAGGAGACTTGTGGTTAACTTAGTAGGAGACTTGTGGTTAACTTAGTAGGAGACTTGTGGTTAACTTAGTAGGAGACTTGTGGTTAACTTAGTAGGAGAATTGTGGTTAACTTAGTAGGAGACCTGTGGCTAATTGAGGAGGAGACGTATGACTAACTTAGCAGTAGACATGTGGCTAATGTAGTAGGAAACCATGGCTAACATAATAAGTGGCCTGTGGCTGACTTAGGAGATATGTGGCAGTAGTAGACCTGTGGCTAACTGAGAAGGAGATGTATGAATAACTTAGCAGTAGACTTGTGACCTATGTAGTAGAAGACCATAGCTGACTTACCGTTGTATCAATGTTGTCTATGTTCAGATTTTCTAAGTCCAGTTCTAATTCCTGTTCAATGTCAGCCATGTCAGCACTTGATAATTGTCCACCTTGTGTAGGAGCATCAGCAGGCTGCTGTGAGGATTCTTTCACCACCTTGGCTGCTACTGGTTCCTGCTTGAAATAAAACATGACACTCTTAATTACATACATTATCTATATATAATATCATTAAATCTTCTCCAGAATTTCTAAGTCACAGAATCCTCAAGAAATAGCTGTTAATTTGATCTACATCAAACACTCTAGGTATTATAACACCTATGTATGTATAGAATCTACCAAAAAGCTGATAAATATACCATTAGTGCATACTGTAGTCAGTAACCTAATATTACATAACAATAATGTTGGTATACAGATTGACCAACCAATCAATGAGAACCTTAATATGCTCCTGTTGAAGCAACACTCTTCATATGAATATATAACAAAAAATCATGGTATTCACCCTCCTAATGTCCTTTTTACAGAGGTAGGTTAATTCTGTTTCAGCTTGCTAACAATACAAGATTTTTTTCATCCTCCCCACTTTGACTCATTCAAATAACTGAAGTTTTCAACAACATAAAAATTCACAGAAAGTTCTGATTAAACTGAAAACCTCTCTGCAAAATTGATCAAAATGAAACTTCTTAATGTTGGATGTGGATGCTGCGAGAAAGAAATAATTCTCACTTCTGCTCCTCTCTCGTGACGAAACAAGTGAACACTACAGGAGTCTGATCAGATGAGTTTATCTTAAATGGTGACATAACTGATATAGCAGTGATGTGTTACCTGTTGATCAGGAGCTGATGCTTCCTCAAACTCTTCATCTTCATCTTGTGCTCCACTAGGTGTGAAGTTGAAGGCACCTCTCTCTTCAGCCTGAGTCATCTCATCGACTGGGACACGACTAGTGTTAGGCTAAAACACAAGCACAAATAATAGTATTGTGGTTTTCATTACATCAATAAAATTTGATAATCCCAATGTGTATTTACGGACCTCATCAACTACCCACATTCGGCAATAAAAAACATCATGCCAGTGGCATTCCTTGTTATAACAAATACTAGATCATTCATCGTATACATTGTATTATATCCACTGATGCATACAAAGGGTTTTCCTTGGTAAAAATCCAAATCTCATGAATGTACGAGTCAAGGGACTCAAATCACATGATATATTGGAGCAAAACTTCATCAATGTTGGGGGTCCTTTGTTAATTTAACAAGTCAAATGCTTTTTTGAAAGTCAAGAAAAAACCCTCCTTACAGTATAATATTTTAGGAGCAAATCAAGGACTTTCCATGTAAAACAACACTTCTGAAGTGTGATTGACACAAATATTTTGTAGTATGTATTTAATGTTTCAACAGTAAACATGTGACAGGGCTTCTGAATAGTCAATACTCTCATACACAGGTCAACCTGATAAAATACTCTAATTACAATACCACAACCGCTTAGAAAATGTGTGTGTAATGTTTCTCTGTGACTACACTCTGTCAGACAAGGAAGCACTAATAGAGTGAAGTGTAAAACATAGAAATCTGATTAACAGCAATGTTTTGTTTTTATTTTTTTTTAATTATTATTCTGATACGACATCTAGTTCCAAATCATACAATCAAATTATGATTATTCAGGATGGTTCAGTCATTTGAGTGTCATAGGAAAAAAAAAGATAAAAAATATACCTGGATTCCAGGATTATTTTTTGTAAAACTCATAGGATTCTTTTAAGTGTTTACATAAGTTAAAATACAAAGGGAAAAACTTCTACAAAGATAATTAAAATAAAGATACATCACAAGAAATTGGAAATGATCACAAGTGTTAAGTCACCTTAGGTATTTACCCTCAGCAACAAATTTTATAAGAATTGGTTACGAAAGTAATTAGCTATTGTTACTTTGAGAGAAATTTTGACAGTACAAAGACAAGATTCAAGTATTAGATGTATATTTCCTGAAACAGCATTTCTTGGGGGTATATTTCTAAGTCAACAGTGGGTAGGCAAACTGAACCATATAGAGAAGGTTTTATTCTGGAGGTCTGATGTCTGATAGATGGTTAGCATCATTAAACTTGAGAAATTTTCTGTTATGCCTCTTACCGGGACACTTGTGTAGCTGTTGGCTGGAAGAAGTTGGGATCGCTGCGGCTTTAAATATTGTTCTGTCTTTAAAGCATCCTTTAAACCTGGAAACAGGTTTTCGTACTCTCCAGGATCTGCCAACGAACTAGCAGCCTTCTGATTTACTTTGGACAACTGCTCCCTCCAAAGCTCCACAACCCTGTAAACAGGAATATGTCACATAAATCTCATTTTATCTGGGTTTTGTTATTAAAAAAAACATAATTATGTTTAACTTGAACATCATAACTGAAGCAGAAAATTTGAAAACAATGCATATATTAAACTTATAATTACAGTTTATTATTCAAGATTTAGAAATACACCCATACAATAAGACAGAAAAGCATCTTATAATACTGAAGAGATCTTGTGGCCAATCTGATGATTAATAAGTATTCTACGCCAGTCTTATCCAATATTTACCTTGACACTTGGCTGGGTAGGTATGTCCTAGCGAAGAAAGCTGCCTCTGGTATCCGCTCCGTCCTGATCAATACTTCTAAACATTCCTCAAGTCTACAAATAAATCATGTAGATACTTGTAGAGGACAACCATCAGGACCATGAATTTACTTACATAGCAACACACCCATATATGTCTGTAAAAAACCTATCTATATCCGTTACTATTCTGCTGAAATACTAACAAATACTATCCCTTTTTCCTGTAATAATCTCACCAAATTTTTAATTTTTTTTGTCTATCCTCACCCCTAAACTTATTACAGGATTAAAATATCATAATGTTTAAGTATCATAAAGGCATTATGAAATCTTGATATTAGAAACTACTTACCTTCCCAGAACAAAGTTTGAAATAAAGGAAACATTATTCTGTCCAGCATTTGCTGCAGTTTCACCAAGTCTGGCCACCATTTGACTGTTACCAGCAGAGCTTGCAAGGAGAAGGAGGCCACCAAAGTCCTGTGCCTGGTGTAAACATTCCTGGGCCAGTCCAAACTCACACTTGCTGATTGCCAACTCTGCCAGCTGTTTCCACTTTTGTTCTGCCTAAAATTCGGGACAGAATTCATTGAATATCTGTTTATTTATTCATTGCTTATTTACTATCCAGGGTTTAGCCCTTCTACAACTTATAATGACCACATCAAACTCTAAATCTTCATAGCTTCTCAAGTATTGTATTGCTCAGATACACATAAATCAATACATTAATCATAGATGTATGCCACATCAATTTCTCTTTTCATTTTAAAATTTCAAAGTGTTTTCCTGAAATAAAAATCAGGTAATATCTCACCTCTGATTCTTTAGCTATTTGGTATGCAATCTTCAGATCACCTAGTTGTACAGCAAGTTCAAACTTATGTTCAGAGTCACAAGTTACAGCTAGTGCTTGTGATTTAAATCCCTTAAAAACAAAAATGTACTAAGTAAACAGACAGTCCCAATATTCTTACATCAGTAAAGGTTGTAATGAAAGGAGCACGTTGCAAATATCTTATTTACCTTTTTCAACTTTTAATAATTGTTTTTGTGTTCTGGACAAATTAAACATATGATTTGTCTTTAGAGGAATAGCATTGAAAGTGCACATTTCATTTATTATAAAATCAATCATGAGATTAATTTATCGAAGAACATGAAACAAAGAATTTATCAAACCTGTTTCTCCAGGAAGTGGGCAACCCTTGTTCGATGTTCCCTGGGAACAGTAGGCAGAACTTTATCTGCTGTCTCAAAGTCTCGCCTCATCACAGAAGTTTGGTACTCGAGTACCGATAGTAAGAGAGAATAGCTGACAACATTTAGTTCTTTATCACCGAGGTATAGTCTGTTATCCTTCGGTATGTAACCCAAGAGATACATCATTCTGAAATAGTCATTGGTCAAATCTAGTCAATGCCCCAACACAAGTGTTATGAAATGCATTTACAAGGATATTATGTTTTTAGTTTTTTCTAACATTCCAATTCATTTCTATGTAAATATCTTCTGACCAGTTGTCATCTCAACTGACTGACCACAGTGATCAGGTTCCCTGACCAATTATTACCCTAGCTGATTGAGTCATCAGAGGTACTACATGTAAGGTTCCGTTATTAAACACTGTATATACAAAAGTTTTCACATTTAATGATGACAGTATCATAAATACACAAAATCCTGCTCATTTGAGAGAAGAAGTAAGAATGAAAACATTTTTCTACAGTGATCTTACTAAAAAAATGACCACAAATTCTGTTTATGAAAATTACCTATCTAAATGAGCAACTGTGACAATCTCTCCGCCCACGTAATAGTTGAGTCGGTTGACACTGTTGGTGTATATAAAACAGTCTCCAACCCAGATACCAGTCTTCACTGTCTCTTCAATCTCTCCGACAACCTACAAACATAATCACAGTCATACATTTACTTGTTTAAGCTTTACTTAACAATGCTGCATGCTAATGATTTTTACCGTTCTTGTCAATAAATACAGATCTATTACTAACATCAAATGCCTCCTCAATTCCATCCTCAGTGATGTCCTCCTTGTGTTCTTTAGCTTTCTCCACAGCCTCAGCGTTGTACTTTAGAATGAAGAAGGAGTCGTCTGTACAGATACATACCAGCTCACCGTTCTCACTCCAAGACACCTGAAATCACAAATTAACAATCAAAGTAAAATTTGATAAACTAAAACTACATCCTAAGAATACACACACTCACATACCTATCATAGATTGGTATAGTTGAAAGCTGTAAACTTACCTTTTCATTCTAACCAGGAAATGACCTTAAAAGCAATTTGAGTGAAGATTTTCCCCGTTTTGAGAAATGAATGTAAAGAGAATTTTCAAATCAGCTAAATCCAGGAGAAGCTGATATGAGAGATTATAATAACAATGACTCTACATCCATCTATGATTATTTGAAATTTGAATCACCCATATATACATACCAACCAATTATATACACTATACGGTTCTGAAATATTATATCTTTGTTTTCTAGGGTTTCCTAAGTAACGCAATTGAATCCCTTCAATTCTCCAGACACTTAGATCATTGACCCTGTGCTGTCATGTTGTGACCTTGGATGAACTTAATCCAAATTGTTCAAGGCAACATGTAACAGGCCTCCCATATGTTGTTCAGTGAGGCTGCTTATATGTATAGTCACCAGCTAAACAAGGTGATCGTACTTTATAATGTTTGGTCCTTAATGACTCTAATTGTCAAAGTGCCTTTAAAATCAATACAGAAAAAAAAAATCAAAATTACTGTTAATATCTCAGCAGTCAGAAATTGTAGTCACTAGGTATATACTTACAAATTTTGGTGTGATTTCAATTCTTCTAATGAGATCGGTGGAGTCCCACTCATAGAAAGCCAGACCACTGACAGAACGAACACCAAGCATGTAACCACCATATATTCCTATGAAAATGAGAGACATTATTAGAACACGACTTTCCATTTTCATGATCACAATTTTAAAACTACACTATATGTGTCCCATTTCATGATCATAATTCATAATTTAAAAACTACACATTGTGTCACTTTTCATGATCATAGTTCATAACTTTAAGACTACACACTACATGTGTCCCTTTTCATTTAGTATATTTTCAAAACTATATAGAAAGTGGGGTTGTAATGAGTACCAAGTACCTGTTTACAGGTAGTTTGAGAAATAACCGGGTTTGATAACATGTACCCAGGTACCCGTCAAACTAGGAAACATTCTGTCTTTCATCTGTGTTTACATTGCAGATTATTAAAGTAATATAATATCTCACTCATTAGTTCTGTTTTCATTCACCAATGATGACATGTTATCTGTTTGTTACATTTTCACATTAAGCATTGTCACACTTAAGTTTTCTCACAACAGCATTTTGTTTTGGGAACCGGCAAACGTGTGTATACACAGCATACTTGTGTACTATACTTTTACCCTGTTACCATGGATAACACGCGAGGATTACCGAATATCTCATTGGTATCAATTATTTTAGTGTGTTTTGGGTTGAAACTCTTGCTGGTGTTGTTCCTAAGATGTTGTTATTGAGCACGATAACTCTGTCAAATACGGTAATGTCTCAATCCCACTTAACTTCCTGATGTGCATGTAACATCCTGCCATATTTGTGGTAAGCTTTACAAGCACACCTTGTCAACTTTTTGAACTGATTTGATTTGTCTCGAGATTGTTTAAGTTACAGAACAATTGATAGTGCAAAGAATGAAATACAATAATATTATCAGTGAAGCATTGTGTTCATACAATGTATATGTTTGATTTTTATTTATTCCCGGAAGTTACAAACGCTTTCAACAAGGTAATTCCAAAATTTTGCACCCCATGACAGTCCTAATACAAAGTGAATATTTTGTATTAAATTGCCCTTAGGCTAACGGTTTGCATTTTTTTTCCTTATTCAAAATTCATGTTTCATGCAAACAATTTTCAAAATATACAATTAAACTGCATAACTTACCTTCTGCCCCAAAGTCGGGCTTGAAGGATTTTTGCTCCTTAAAATTTTTGAATATTTTAACCATACTGGTGCTCTCTCTGGTAGCATAGACTGACGAGTCGTTACTCCATACAAATTCCTGCGCAGACCCAAAGCTTTTGTTTCTCAGAGCCATAGCTGTATATATGATGTATTCACCATCTCCACAAACTACTACAAACCTACAAATAGCATTATTAACGATTAGTTACACATGGCAAAAAGTTCTCAACATACTTTAACAATGAAATAAATACTCTGGAATTTCTGTGTACACAAATCTATTAATTTCAGGTATTTCTGGAAATATAAACTTTCAAAATGAAAGACACGTTTTATGGAGTTACTGCTCCGTGAAAATTAAACCTATGAAGCAAGAAAATTCACAGAAAATAGCTTAGAATTGTTTTCAAGCATTACAGATAAAAATTTAAGATGACATTTGCCATGGACCAAGACAACATATTCAGTATGTCTAGTTACCTTCCATTGGGATTGTGGGCTACATTTTGTGGGTATATCTCACAGCTTCCCATGTCCTTAACAGCTAGAGGTAATCGCTCGCCATCTTTGATTTCTGTATCACTGATGGCCTTGATATTGGCCTGCTGTATCTCAGAGTGTTTGGCCCAGATGATTTTTCCACTACTGTCCATTGACATAGCTGGTTCCTCTCTTCCAAGCTGACAACACATGGAAATTATTTACATTATTAATTCAATATTTTGTATCTTCAAAATTTCCAATACAAATTCTCTAATCAGTCTGGATTCTTTTCATAATCACACAATTCTACGTCATATCTGTATTAAGATTAGAAAAAACTTCAGTGTTAATTTTCCATGAATATTCATCAGGTACAAAATCAGAATGAACAGAACAGAAATATATATGATGTAACGACTAGATAGTATCCTCTATCTTTGTATTGTGATATAAATATTCATCCTGTCACTGAATTTCCATAGTAGGAATACACATAAACAATATATTTGCTGTATATGGCACTTAATCGTACAGAATAACTTTCTGATTTACTTAGGTCTTTCATTTAAAAACAAAAAATAAAAGTTTATGTAAGTGATTTTATTTGTTGTATCAAACAAGCTTATTTGCGAAAATTCATAAAATTATTTCTGTGCATCATCGGACACAATTCAGCGTAACAACAACGTAAGGTAAACAAACATTGAATAGACCTAACAAACAGCTGAAATTTTGAAAGTCAGAACTGTTTTTAATAAGTATTGGAGGACAAAAAGAATACATAGTCAAATTCTTAAATATGAGCTACATTTTGGCTTGGGACAGGATAACAAAAGTGCAATACAGGTTTTCTTTCAAGACACTGACCATGTATTCTCTATTGAATGATAATAATTTCAGAAATGACCATTACACCACTATCTCTAATCTGTTGTAAAAAGTATATGTACCTTAATGATTATGCTGCCCTCATCATAGCCAAGAGCCACATTGTTTGACCCCTTCTGACAGGCAATAGTCCACACCCTTTCTAGACCATAGTTCAGCGTACTCTCCAAACGGTAGGTGTTAGCATGCCAAATACGAACTGTACCTAGACGCAGAAAAAAAAATGGCACATTATAAAAATCACTTTTGTGTATAGCTGTATAGTCTGTAGTCCCAAAAAGTTATGTTCTATCACCTAAATATGACAAAGTTTATGCAAAGCGGATAGTGCATGACAAAGGACGAAATATGATGACAATAGGTCATCCTGAACCATCAAGTCAGATGACCTCTTATCACAACATTCTAACCTGAACACTTTGTTGAAAGTGTTAGCCCTACAATTTTCTTCCATATTCAAAGCCGCAATACAATTGTTTTCTTAATATATAATAACTTCTAACAAACAGTCAAAAAACTGAAAAAATGTTTTAACATCGCCTAAAACTGTCTTACCATCCTCTGATCCTGTCATGATGATAGGTAGTTCTGGATGGAAGGATACTGTAGAGATATTCTGAGCATGTCCTTCCAGTGTCTGTACACATGTTTTATTCTGCCAATTTACAAATAATGATTTAATTATAAATTCAGAGATTTTTCAACTTTTCATTTTTTTTTTAATGTTTAATCAATTCCTGTTTGTATGTGTGTATTTTTTTAAGATAAAATATGTGTGTATTTCTTTAGGATAGCAAATCTGTGTGTTATTTTAAGACCCTACAAAACAATTGATGATAGTGTCCATGTACTTATTATTACCAGGTGTCTGTGACAAAAAAAAATTTAGGAAATAATCATTGCTTTTACCAATCAAAATTGTCTGGTTTCCTCTTTGTAAACTCACTATACTGACCTATGGTTTTTTTTTCAAAATGATTGATTACCAATTATGAATAAATTCAAACACTGTTTTGCCTTCTATCGATGCTGTAAATCACCTGATAATCCCAGATTTTGATAAGTCTGTCGTCAGCTCCAGAGATGAGATATGGTTTATCTCCCCCTGAGTAATAATCTAGACAGTTAACTCCTTTCTCATGCCCTTCCAGAGTGAAGTTAGGTGTTGGGGAGCCCAGCTGCCACACCTGCACATGAAAGAGATTCAGTCGTGTCAATGTCATAACGAGATTCTTAAAAGTGAACCTCAATTTAATTTTGTGAAAAATTCTGTAAGTTATAGCTTGACATATAACTTCAAAACAAAACTTTCAAACACTACCAACTTTAAATCTACCATGGTGGTCTGGTAGTGAAGTGGATTTAAATTTTTTAAAACAACTGGCCAGCAAGTGATTCATTTTGTAATGTTTCACTAATGTTGTTAAATAAACAAACCTTAGGCTTACAGAAATGTGTATCAATGATTCAGATGATAATTACATATAAGTTATCTATAACCACCACATTGAAAAATATATGTTGACAGATTTTCCTTAATAGCACATATTTTCAAAATGCAATGACTCAAAGTATATAACTTTATCGTTGATGCTACAGAGCCTGGTGATACTTGGCAAAGTCAAGTTATTTCTCCTTTTTCTTGACAACAGTTTGTCTGATATAACACTATTGGTTATTTGAGTATCTAACCTTGACAGTTCTGTCTAGAGATCCACTGGCAAATGTGTTGTTATCCTTGGGGTTGATGATAATTTGCATGACATAATGAGTATGTCCTTCAAACACCTGTGTACATGTCCACTTCTTTTCCCAATCCCACAACTTGATTAACATGTCATCTGTAAATAATAACAATAAACAATATCTGTATCAATGTGTTGTCTGATCAGACAGTGCTCTACTGACTAGGAAAACATGTGTATGACTTATTGATTTTACATGTTAGATCAATATGATATTGGTCTATCACTCTGATATATTAATAGCAATCTGTATTGATAAATCAGGTCGTCACTGATTTAGACCTCTGTCTGCTGAATTTATAGTATATATCCAGCACATCCAATTTTCAGAGGATTTGAAAACGACAAAACATCATCCCAATGTCAGAGGTATTTCTGCAGATCTAATTTTCTGATGTTCAACAAATTGATAAATTGAAAGATGAATGTAATTGCATTTAATAAAATGTTTTAAATATTACTTACAATAATCTAAAATTTTTCATAATTTTAAAATCTTAAAAATCGAAGGTAGCTTTGAGACATTAAACAGATCTAGAAATTTTGACAATTATTTGAAGTTTTAACTGACCACTGCTGCTGAGGATGAAAGGTTGTGTTGGATGGACAGCAAGCGACCGTATGTAATCAGAGTGAGCCTCAAATTGGTGAACTCTCTCTAGCGTGTTGTAGTTAAATGCACGGATAGTCATGTCATCCTTCAAAGATAAAACAAAGACTCAGCTCATTTACAGCATCAGGGTTGTCTATTAAACTATATGAATTGAAACTAGTAAAACATTTTACATATAATGAATTATAGCCATAATGATGGTGTTTGCCCAAAACATTTACTAGTAGAGAACTGTGAATGTTTGAAACAAGATGCCCTGGACCTTAATGGTCATCCAAGTTCTTCAAATGCTTTTGTTGTTATTGCAACATATCAAACCAAAACACTTAAAATTTATCATGGATGATACCTGGATAGTTATAAATCAAGTAATAAGGCACTCCTGACTTTTCAATTGTCCAAATGGGGGAACTACATTGTTGTCAACCAGAGACAACTGATAGAAGTTTCAAAAAGTGCCATACATGAATGAAATAAAATAGTTGTATAAGCTCTGCAACACCATCAATGCACTCAGCTTTTTTTCAGTATTTTTGGAATGACCCCAATGATGTATAAATTTTACTGGGGTAGTCGCCAGGAACAAAAGATTGGGATTATTCACTTACAGATCCTGTTATAATCCAGTTCTTTCTTGGGATAAATCTTGCAGATCTCACAGGCAGGTCACATACCTCAAAGGATTTGATGAGTTGCTGAAGTTTAAATAGAAGTATAAAGTAACTGAAATTTTCATTTAATGATCCATTTCCTCTAAATCAATCTATAGTAACTTGCACATACTGTCTTCACATAAAACGAAAGGTTGGCACTTTAATAAAACCCTTCTGAAAGTTCTGTAAGGAAAATAAATAATAAAAAAAAAATACTCAATAGTTATACGATTGAGTTCAACAGCAATGAAATCCTGTCTAAAGAATACAATTACATTTTTGCCACGTTGATAAAGTCCACTGAATTTCATTTTGATTTTAATAAAATATTGTGCATGTATCTAAAATCAATGACAGACTTACTTGTGATTCATAGTTCCAGATGTGAACATTGCCATTATACAGACTGGCCAACATCCATGGCTCAGTTGGGTGGAGATCTACACATTTTACCCGGTCAGATCGAGCTGACAATTTCCGTTTGATGTCCAAACGAAGTGGCTATAAAAGAAATAAAATATACATGACTGAAAGACGCACAAAACCACATTGCATCAAACTATATCATGTTAACATTGATAAATAAAATTCAGTTGATTTTCTTTTCGGGTTTGTTTCCTGCACATACAAAAATAATAACATACATTGCATATTGTGTACATGTAATTGTATACCAACAACCCCAGTCTCAACTTAATGAATTACAAGGGCCGTTGGAAACGGGTTATGTTTCCTAAATGGGACAAAATTTAAGAATGAAATATAACAAAGGGCAATAATTCCTAAATAAAGCAAAGAGTTTTATGGTTTTTGTACACTGCACTTTTCCTCACCAAGATCGGTCTACCTATTAAGTTTTATGTTAATACCTTTTATAGTTTTGTGTTATGCTCCAGACAAACTTATGACGGACAGACAAAGCTGCGACTATATGCTCTCTTTCCTGGGAGCATTAAAAATTGGCTCTCAAATGCAGTCATTATTTTGTAACATGTCATAGAATTAATCTGAACTTGAAATTAATTGTACACACAATGCAAATGTAAACCAAATATCAAACTAAATTCAACTTTGGTTTTAAATACATATATCACATAATTGCACTATATGTCAGTGCTAGTACGTTTCACACATTTATCAGATAAATGTGACCATGTAGTCATCAAAACATCACACTCAAACCATTTGGTTGTGTTATAAGAACTTCTTTTCTATTGATAGACTCGAAGAAAATGCTCTGAAATAACTGCACCATTTTATTCATTTACGATCAGTCGGAGACCTCTGTCTTGGTTAACGTAAATATTACTATTAAATTTTCAATGTGATGTGCTATAAGTGTGCCTTTTCCATATTATAACCTATACGTTTTTGTGAAAAGTGATCCTGGTTATCCGACCTGTATCATAGAAAGGTGTAAATATTCTTTGGGCCTATAGCAAACCAGGAGCATTGAGCAAATATGCCCTTAAACACTGAAGACCAAGAACAATTTCTTTCCTGGTGAGGGGACGGGGAGTATGCCAACATTTCATTACTTCCATAATCAATGGTAATCGTGCTGTAACCACTCTGCCCCCTTGGCACTTTTTAGTTGACATATCATTTTTCTAGTTTGATCGGTTCGCGTGAACATCTACCAATACCTTTCCTACTGTAATTTATCAACACTTTAGCAAAATCTTACCATTTTTGTCCGTAGTATTTGCAAGCACAGAAATTATGTTGTTTTCCACACCGGCAAAATAGTGTACGTTTGCTGGAATTACGTGGCTTCGTGTCTACCCATGCGTTACCGGAAATCACGTTAGCGAGAACTGCGCGAGATTACTTCAGAAAATGGCCGGGAAACAAGCACAGACACTTTCGCGTTCTTCTCGCTAAATTGGAATTCACTGGTTCTGAAGTATAATTCACGACAACATCTGATGCTAGATGTAGTGCATACGATAATCATTATCGTAAATTTATTTTTATTTTATATAGGAAACGTTACTGCGTTATTTGCAATTTAAAACTTCTTGTTGATAAGGAAGCTGACAGGTGTCTTCTGCCCTGTGAAGATAACTCGCCAAGATGAGAGTAAACGGCCTTGTCCCAGCTCGCTTTCTAACGATCATAGCCCATATGGTCATCGTCATAGTATTATTATGGTCACGAGTATGTTGTTTTATATTTCTAAATATGTCTCCCGTTTTCGAATTGAACTGGGGGGGGGGGGGGCATTATCCAGCATAACTTGTTCTTGTTAAAAATACTTAACTCCATTTTTACAGGAGGTCAGTGCTGGACATGTGTACGTACATGTAGACTACACGTAGTTTGCGCAGAATGGCAGTTCCAACTGTATGCTCCCTATGGAGTTGGAGAAAAATTAGGACCAGTAGCTAAAGGCCTTATGCCCATAGTCCAAATGGTCCTGGCTTTCATCTGTCTGCGACCAAGACAAAATTAAAACCTTAAAATAGCTGATAGATATTCACAACCCTGCAGACAAATTTGATCAAAGATTACAATTTATGAACCACATGGGAGAGATTTTTTACTGTGATAAAGTGGTATAGTGGTGGATCCTCTGGTCACTATTAGCAAATTATTATAGATTATATGACATTATATATTGGATAGGTTATTCATTTATGAATTTTGAATATTTGACCATTAAAATGTAAAAGGTACTGAAAAAAAATCTCTGACGTCATAATTCTTATTTTTTTTTGTCTTTTATTAGGATGGAAATGTAAAGCAATGCCTTCCCCTAAGTTACACAGATGATGAATACAAGACCAAAGACACAGAGTAAGTATACATGTGAATATTATATGTATTTTTATGCTGCCAAAAATTGGGGGGGGGGGGGGGGCATATAGTATACTCTGTACACATTTAAGCAAGGATATGAAACTTGGTGTATATATTGGTCATGTGCAGTGTACCAAATTCAGGATCGCAACCCCTAAATTACAGAATTATGACCTTTGTTTAAACTTTTGTGTCTAGAGCATAACTTTGTCCTGGTGTATACATTGATCATATGAAGACAATGTGTAGTATACCAATATTAAGGCCTGCAACCCCTACAGAATTATTGCCCTTTGTTAAAATTTGTGTCTGGAGCATAGCTTTGCTTACATTAAAACTAGCTTGCATTAAAACTACAAGCATGAAACTTGGCCTATACAATGGTCATACTAAGATAATGTGCTGTATATCATATTCAGGTCCTTCGACCCCTTAATTACAGAATTATTGTCCTTTGGTAAAATTTTGTGATAAATAAAGTTATTTTTTGGGCAGCATTCATCAATTTCACTGATACTTTTTATTTTACTGTTGTCATAAAAAATCAAGTCAAATGCGCATTTTTATAAATCATGATCAGAATTGTGGTAATTGCTTATGATCAGGTAATTTTTCTATTAATTGCTTGGTGAGTCTAACTAGAGGGTAAAGGGTCCAGGGTTAAAGTCCTGGTCAAGATGTTGCATTGATTTTCCCATCTCATGTGGAATTAATAGGGCATCACAGAAATTTTGAGAACAAGGGAACAAGTTGTCTATTTAAACGCTAAATCTGTACATTTTTCTTCATGTTCTTCATAAATACATGTAGGATTCAGAAAGGTGTGATTATGTATCTGTTTTATTAATTTTCAATAACATTATTGAATGCTTCATCTTTCATCCATTATGATGATTACCTTTCTTTTATTCCAGAATGATCATTGGATTATCAGTGACTCTGGGTCTTTTTGTCATAGAACTCATCGGCTTCATCGGTGGGATCTCTATGTTTATGCCATTCCAAAGTTTACTTTGTATCCTTTTCAAACGAAATGTAAATACCTGTGTAGATAACAGTGATGATATTTGATAAGAGAACAAATCTCACGATATATAACAATTGACATGGTGGTTTCTAGGTTCTTTTTAGTGTTAAACAGTGATTTCTCAGAGTTGATATATAAAGAATCCACTCATTCCTTCTTGCTAGCTCTCTACCTCAAATTTTTACATCTTATAGTCAATCATAACTTAGTTTCTAGTATTTTGTAAGTTCCTGAGCTGTTTGTACATTAGAGACAGTATATTCTTGAAGAAGAAGTATGTCTATTAACATTTGTTGATTACTTAACTTGGTTAGTACAGTGAATAATTCAAATGATTACAAATTTTATATACATATATGTCTTAGATAAGTTCTAAACTCTTTTTCTTTTGTGTGTTAGGTGCTATAGATTTTCATAGTTAAATACATGCAGCATGCAATAACACCTATTGAACCTTGTGATTTGTTTCACAGATACAATCATTGTGATGGGATTTTTTTTATTTAATTTTTCAATAATGCTGATTTACCTTCAATCTGTAACTGACAAGATCCTTGTATGCTTCATGTAGCACTGTGTTACAAAAGTCTAGTGTAACTGCTGGAATTATTCCTCCTTGACTGCTGGTCCAGCTATAAGTGCCCACTGTGGGGCCTGTGTGTCGCTGTCCTATTTCCTGTTTTGGTCTTGGCCATGTTATAGGTACTGGTACATTTTTGCATTCTGCAGTGCCTTACCCACAATGACGGAGGTCATCACCATGATTGGTGTTAGTTTCTGTCGGCGGGGATTATGATAGCAATATAATTTATAAACTAGGGATCCATTATTATTGTCAACATCATGTTAAGGAGATTTATGTTTTGTGTTTCAATAAAGTGTGATAAACTGCTAGAAATAATACTGCCATATAGGTAAAATTTATGACTAGCTATACATTAAAAAATATTGCAAATTTTCTATGAATTGTAACTAAGTTACCTCCCTTCATCATGATTGCCTCCTTGACTATACACCAGCTGTAGCAGCTCATGCCGCAGGTGCAGTGACTCTCACATTCTTTCTCTTCCAATTATGGTCATGTGATTACTACTGGTATGTGTTTGCGTTCTGTGTAGCTCTTCCAGCCGTTGGAGAAATATTGACAATGATTGGAGTAGCATTCTTTAGAAAAGGCTTATAGTGAAGAAAGTGTGTTAAGTGTACACAAACAGTAGTATAAAAGGTTCCTGGTGATGTGACTATAGGCTTGTATAGCTCCTAACACACAGGAGTCATTTAATTATAAACCAGTGAAAATAGCTTGTTTTGAAAGTATGTAGAATTGTTCTGTTTTTAGACATCGTATGAAACCTTTGAGTGACATTTTTAGTCATGATAAAAGTTTCATCCTCAGTATACAGTCATATTTAGGAAAAAATGGTGGCTGTGTAATTACATATAATTATTTATTATTACAGACTTCATTGTAAGTATTGTAAGTACATGCAGGCTGTAGCAGAGTGTAAAAAACACTTGATAATCATTAATTTGCAGGTGAAGGTCGATCTGTTGTTACCTTACCACAGTCTACCTATCTATAAGGTATATAAAAACAGACCTTAAGGTTGGTGATGAATACACATATCTCAGATTTATCAAACAATGAACCGTCCAATATCAGTTACTGTTCAGTAGAGTTACTATCTTCTGTTTTATTGCATTTAGGGTTATCGTGTTGGGCTTAATGAAGGGAATACAGTGTATGTTGTACATGTATACATTACAGATAATGGGTTCATTACATTCAGAAGATTTGAGGTCCAGGGTTAAAGTCCTGGTCAAGATGTTGCATTGATTTTCCCATCTCATGTGGAATTTCTAAGGCATCACAGAATTTTGAGATCAAGGGAACTGGTTGTCTTTTTGAAGGTTTGGGGGTAAATGTGCAAATACACTATGTCGCATATATCTGGAGGTCGGAAATAGATGTATATATGTAAACAATGACCAACAGAGCCAAGAAAAAAATGTCTTTTATTCATGTGCTGATACTGTAGAAGAGGTTTTTGCAGAAGAATTGCTAGAGTTTAGGATATCCACTATAATTAATTTACATGCCCTATGTGTTACTGAATTGTGCAAGCATTATTATTACTTACATAGTAGAAGAGTATTTCTTTAAGCCTCGGTTGGAAGAATTAAATTTCATTGTTTACAACTTAACACTGTACATCTTGTGTTGAAAAGACATATTTTAGAATGTACTTGTATCAAATAATACATGTGAAAATTTAATATTTTGAAGCAGGAGAATTTGCTCTATTAACTGTACATATTTGAAAGTGTCCTTGGTTTTGATTTTTAAAATATCATATGCTTTATTGTCCAGACTCACAAACACTGATGTTACCAAAATGAATGTTTAAAATTTTGTCTATTTTACATTAGTTGTGATACAAGTAATTTTATTTTATATTAATCACTGTTGTTTGTCCTGATGTAAGCGTGCAAGTGGTCTTACTGTTGGAGTAAACCAGGGTGGCTGAGGTAACCCCACAGGATCGGAGAGGTGACCCTCATAGCTTTTTAGGTCATCTGACCGAAGGGTCTGATGACCTATTGCGATCACCTTTTGTCTGGCATCGTCCGTCGTGAATATTTTCAAGTTCTACATGTCTCATTGAGCTGAAATTTACCTGAAATGATCGTGACATGATCCTGACCAAAGTTTGTTAATTTCGGGTTGGTTCAAAATCCAACATTGCCGCTATCTTGAAAACACATTTTCGACTTCTTCTCAAGTTCAAAATTTGAAATCTTGTATTTTATGTTAGATGATCATTAAGGCTAATGGGCCTCTTGTCTCATCTTTTTGGGGAATTAACATACAGGTGTCTAGGAGAAAGGCAAGTGGGTAACTGCAGTGCCATCTCACCATCCAGTGGAGGGCAATGGATTACATGAAACACTATGCAAATATATTTTTTTCTAGATGAAGGCAGATTGGACGTCTGCCTTTATTTCAGTAAACAAGCACACAAGTTACCATTCTGATCAGAGATTGTTTCTTAGGATAGATATTTCACTGTATCTTTATAATGAAGCATTGATAACAACATACTAAAAGGCTTACAGTTTCGATAGTTTATTATGCTGGCTTATGGAACAAAAATTCAATATATTCATTGAAGGATGCAAAACAAAGCCATACAGCCTCTCAAATCAATTCTATCGCGAATGGTAGACAAAAAAAACTAGGATTGTGAAAGGTGAAACAGCACATTCATTTTGTCACAACAGATTTTTGAATGTATACGTAGTGACAGTAGGTGCAGATGAGTGAATGTATCTGTTGAATTTTGAAAAGCAACGTCATTATAATTTTCATGTATGTTTTTAGATGTTTTTTTGTTAGTGTAATGAGAACCAGCAGTAAATAATATGAAGATTTCGCCATGAATTTAAACTTTCTTCATCAGATATTATCATGATACTTACATCTAATGTCATATGTATCAGCAACATATGTATGTGTGGCATTTATATCTCGTCTAGAATTGATATTAAAAATGGTTTTAGATATACTAGAACTTTAGTTATTTTTTCTTTATCTTTTATCAGAGAATTCATGAGTTTCATCTAAAATATACTCGCGGAATAGAGGAAATGTGCATGTGTAAAATGTACATGTATTAATCATTTCTATTAATTAAAGCTTGAAACTTTACACAGGCAAAATGTGTATGGCTCTCTATCATTATCACTGCTCAGTGCATGAGTTGCATGGGTAGTTTGTCTGTCTGGCCCAGGTCTTTGTTTTCACGTTCTTTTTTGGCCAGCAGTCAACCGCAAACACATTTGTCACCTATGTAAGAGCATAGTGTAAATGCCTGTTACACACGAAACCAGTATATATTTGATACACCATGCCAATGTTGAATGAAAGTGACCGATGTCGCATCATAGGCATGATCAAAGCTGGTGTACATCATACTGATATTGCCAGACAATTTGGTGTGCAATGAAATACTGTAGACGTGTTGTGGAGACGGTACCAACGGTTTGGGACCACCGGCCTCGGTCAGGACATCCATGCCTAACATCTAATCACCTGATTACTTATATTTTTGACCGCTAGAAGTATTCCTGGCCTCCGAAGAATTAGTCCCCGAACAGTACATAATCATCTGCTTGAATGAGGTATACATCTATGATGTCCAGCCATTTGTCCAGTTCTCCAGGAATTTTTTCATGTAGCACATGTAGCCTAGTGTAGACGACACATACACTTCACGCAGCAGGCCTGGGCACATGTTTTAGCAGATGAGTCCAGGGCCCGTATTCATGAAAACATTCTCATACTCAAGCATAGATTTTATGCTAAAACAAACTTATTTTATAATTCATCTTAATCATATAAAATAATACAAATGTCAAATATAAACATGAAATGTAACTTTGATTTGAAATCCCTTCAATTTGTTTTTTTTAATCTTTAGCAAAATCAGTTGTATTTATTAATTTTTAACTTATACAAGACATAAGGCTTGAGCACAAAATTCATTCTTGAGCACGAGATGGGTTTCATGAATACGGGCCCTGGTTTCATCTCAACAGCAGCGACAGTTGCTCTAGATTGTAACATGGTGTTGGTGAACGTTTCCATTGTGTGATTTGCTGGAGGTAGTGTCATAGTGTAGGGTGGCAGAACAGCTCTTGTGGTTGTGGACAGCACACTTACAGGCATCATATACCATGACAAAATCATTCAGTCTCACATCCTTCTATTTGTGCAGCAACATAACACCCTGCTGAAATAGGATAATACTTGCCAGAAGGTAGGGGCTGTCAAGTACATTGTAAATGTGCTGCCCTAGCCTGCAACATCATTGGATATGTCACCTATAGAACATGTGCAGGTTCCTTTTTAGTTTCTAAATAAGCAGTTGATTTTGAACTAAAAGACTGATAAGGAGAGAAAAAAAAAGAGATCCCAGAGAAATTTTGGCACCCACTGTTGTTTCATATGCAGGTTCCTTTTTGTTTCTTTTTGTCATTGTTTGTTTTCTCTCTTAATTACATGAAATTTGAAAATTCCTTTTAGCAATAATACTCTGTACCTGCCAAATCCAAGATGGTCGCTTTTCAGCGAATTTGTTTTTCTGACCAGTACCAAAATCCAAAGGGGAACCTACTGCTAAAATGAAATTTGAGAACATCCTGTCCAGTACTTCTCTAGAAATAGTGATAAAAAACTAAAAAATCCAAGATGGCCTCTTGTCAACTGTTTTGTTTCCTTATCAGACTGGAGCAAGGGGGAAACCTTCCACGAAATCTGAGAAAGGTCAAACCAGTACTTCTGAAGAAGTACCAATAACAAATACAGGTATTCATTCTTAAAATCAGAGATGGCTGCCTGTCAGTCTTTTTAATTTTCCTGGTCAATCCCAATATCAGAAGGGCACAACTAGTGACCAACATGAAGCTACAAGTTATGAAATTTGAGAAAGAACTTTTCATGAAATAGCTTTAAAAAGTTTCATTTTCAAAATTAAATACGGCTACCTCTCCCACAATTTTTTTCTGATCAGTTCCATACTCAAACGCGCATGATTGACCACAGTAACATAGGAAACGAAAAGATACAAATGATATTTCAAAGGTATGTAACAGAGGTCATTACTTCATTTCAATGCAACTGCTAGGATTCAAACCCAAGACCTTTGTCTTACTGTTCTGAGGCTCTTGAACCATTTGAGCTAAAGGGAAGTTCTCCCTAGCTGAGCGTGATATCGCAGTTAGTACTTTACCAGCGTTACATACTCCCAGTCCAGGAGATAATTTGCCCTCAAGTTTCCAGGGATTACGGCAGTACTTGTGAAAAAAAATCCTCATATTGCCAAGTCCTTATGGGGCACAAAGTACAGGTCATTATTTCATTTCAATGCTTTCACAAAGATTAGAACCCTTGATCACTACCTAATATCATTAGTATGACACTTACCTGATCTAGGTAAAGAAAATGTCTCCCTAGCTTAGCAGTATATTCTGTCTAGTATTTTACCAGAGTTACAGGTATACCACCATTTTCACAAAAATGATCATGATGAAACTTTGCAGGTCTGATTCCTTTAACCCCTAACTATACATGCTCAAATACAACATAGAAAAAGACAATTAGCTTTTCCACTAAGTGACCATTTGGGATTTTACTCTCCAAATGTTGTGCCTCTAAAAAAACTATTAAAATCATGATGAAACTTGGTATAGAAGATCTCCATGTTAGGACATTAACAAGCTCCAATTTGAGATTGAAAAAGCAACTGCAATAGGTCATTTCAGACTTTGTCATGGGTGACCAATTAACAAGTTTTAAACACAGAACACCATCTTTCTCTTTGTGTGAAAACAAACATATCCACTCTTGTCGTAGTAATAGATATATAACATAGCAAAGTTCCTATACATAAGAACAAATTTGTATCATTTAACATTTTTATTGTAGTAGCTTTTGGATTATTACAAGCATAAAACCTATATACACATCAGTGAAGTACACCCTAGTGAAAAAATCCTGTGAAAACTGCAGCGATCACAGCAATCTATCAACTTATTTTATAAGACCGTTTTTTATTGTATCTTCTGTACAGGTATTTCACTCTCTTATTCATGGCTGCATATTTGGTGGGATACACCACCTTCATCTTGTTTCCAGTCATTCGCAGCCTTCTGAGCAGTCTCTGTAGTTCTGACTGGTCTTTCTGTCCAATAAGCCAAGTTGGACCCTTCTGAAGGTCAGCAGGGTGAATATCGCCATCCCCCAGAATATCTGAAAAACAGGGATTTGTTTACAGTTATGTTGGCAAAGTTTAAAAAAAAACATAATTTTGTCATGTGCTCCTTCCTGTCTTTTGAAGATGGGGTTGTCAGAATTCTGTTACCAATGCATATTGTATTCCTGTCTAATAATGTCTTCTGCGAGTCCTAAATCAATTCCTGATTCAATGACAATTTTCTAGTTGTTGCCTGTAGAACCTGATCAAACTTTGCAACTAGTTAAAATATAAGAATAATTATCTACTCATTCTTAGGTGTATAGAGAACAAAGAGTAGTAGAATTTTGGAATCACTAGTTTGACGAAGGTTGATGAAAATTATTGAAAGGTTTTACGATTGTCATCGTGATCTCACTGAAAAATATTCTATTTGTCAGTTGGTTCTGCTGACACACCTGGTCTTATTCTTCTTGCATTTTTCATGAGTCTCTATGTTTCATATTTTGCCCTAGTTTTTGAGTTTATAATAATAATATTAAAATGATATTTTAGTTGAACATAACAGGACAATGTGATAAAGTCAGTGTCAAACATTGCTGAATAGTTGGACTTACAGGGTCGGAGATATTACATAGGAAAGTATTAGTTCTAATGTATATCTATCTATATATATATGAATAAAGCAACTACAGTAATACACATCAAAACATTTGTGTCCCAATCTACAGTCTCCAGCCATTACATACCTATGTAATCATTTTGTCCAAATAAAGAATGCTTTTCATCCCATCTATCCTTCACTTTATACTTTTTCATGCTCCGAAGTGGCTTGTCATCACGGGGAAGAGTACCTTAAAATAGATACAAAAAATCTTGATCTTGGATCATAGACAATAGGTAAGGAATTAGCTATCACCGATAGCAAGAAAGGTGTTAGTGATCACAGACAACAAGGCAAGGTTTTAGCGATCACGAACAAGGAAAGGTTTTAGTGATTACAGACAACAAGGAAAGGTTTTAGTGATTACAGACAACAAGGAAAGGTTTTAGTGATCACAGACAAGGAAAGGTTTTAGTGATCACAGACAACAAGGAAAGGTTTTAGTGACCACAGACAACAAGGAAAGGTTTTAGTGATCACAGACAACAAGGAAAGGTTTTAGTGATCACAGACAACAAGGAAAGGTTTTAGTGATCACAGACAACAAGGAAAGGTTTTAGTGGTCACAGACAACAAGGAAAGGTTTTAGTGGTCACAGACAACAAGGAAGGTTTTAGTGATCACAGACAACAAGGAAAGGTTTTAGTGATCACAGACAACAAGGAAATGTTTTAGTGATTACAGACAACAAGGAAAGGTTTTAGTGATCACAGACAACAAGGAAAGGTTTTAGTGATCACAGACAACAAGGTAGGTTTTTGTGATCACGGACAAGGAAAGGTTTTAGTGATTACAGACAACAAGGAAAGGTTTTAGTGATCACAGACAACAAGGAAAGGTTTTAGTGATCACAGACAACAAGGAAAGGTTTTAGTGACCACAGACAACAAGGAAAGGTTTTAGTGACCACAGACAACAAGGAAAGGTTTTAGTGATCACAGACAACAAGGAAAGGTTTTAGTGACCACAGACAACAAGGAAAGGTTTTAGTGATCACAGACAACAAGGAAAGGTTTTAGTGATTACAGACAACAAGGAAAGGTTTTAGTGATCACAGACAACAAGGAAAGGTTTTAGTGATCACAGACAACAAGGAAAGGTTTTAGTGATCACAGACAACAAGGCAAGGTTTTAGTGATCACAGACAACAAGGAAAGGTTTTAGTGATTACAGACAACAAGGAAAGGTTTTAGTGATCACAGACAACAAGGCAAGGTTTTAGTGATCACAGACAACAAGGAAAGGTTTTAGTGATTACAGACAACAAGGAAAGGTTTTAGTGATCACAGACAACAAGGAAAGGTTTTAGTGATCACAGACAACAAGGCAAGGTTTTAGTGATCACAGACAACAAGGAAAGGTTTTAGTGATCACAGACAACAAGGAAAGGTGTTAGTGATCACAGACAACAAGGCAAGGTTTTAGCGATCACGGACAAGGAAAGGTTTTAGTGATTACAGACAACAAGGAAAGGTTTTAGTGATCACAGACAACAAGGAAAGGTTTTAGTGATCACAGACAACAAGGAAAGGTTTTAGTGATCACAGACAAGGAAAGGTTTTAGTGATCACAGACAACAAGGAAAGGTTTTAGTGATCACAGACAACAAGGAAAGGTTTTAGTGATCACAGACAAGGAAGGTTTTAGTGGTCACAGACAACAAGGAAAGGTTTTAGTGATCACAGACAACAAGGAAAGGTTTTAGTGATTACAGACAACAAGGAAAGGTTTTAGTGATCACAGACAAGGAAAGGTTTTAGTGATCACAGACAACAAGGAAGGTTTTAGTGATCACAGACAACAAGGCAAGGTTTTAGTGATCACAGACAAGGAAAGGTTTTAGTGATTACAGACAACAAGGAAAGGTTTTAGTGATCACAGACAAGGAAAGGTTTTAGTGATTACAGACAACAAGGAAAGGTTTTAGTGATCACAGACAAGGAAAGGTTTTAGTGATCACAGACAACAAGGAAGGTTTTAGTGATCACAGACAACAAGGAAAGGTTTTAGTGACCACAGACAACAAGGCAAGGTTTTAGTGATCACAGACAACAAGGAAAGGTTTTAGTGATCACAGACAACAAGGAAAGGTTTTAGTGTTCACAGACAACAAGGAAAGGTTTTAGTGATCACAGACAACAAGGAAAGGTTTTAGTGATCACAGACAACAAGGAAAGGTTTTAGTGATCACAGACAAGGAAAGGTTTCAGTGATCACTGACAACAAGGAAAGGTTTTAGTGATAACAGACCACAAGGAAAGGTTTTGGTGATCACAGGAAAGGTTTTAGTGATCACAGACAATAAGGAAAGGTTTTAGTGATCACAGACATGAAGGAAAGGTTTTAGTGATAACAGACAACAAGGCCAGGTTTTAGTGATCACAGGAAAGGTTTTAGTGATCACAGACAACAATGAAAGGTTTTAGTGATCACAGACAACAAGAAAAGGTTTTAGTGATCACGGACAACAAGGAAAGGTTTTGGTGATCACAGACAACAAGGAAGGTTTTAGTGATCACAGACAACAAGGAAAGGTTTTAGTGATCACAGACCACAAGGAAAGGTTTTAGCGATCACAGACAACAAGGCAAGGTTTTAGCGATCACGGACAAGGAAAGGTTTTAGTGATTACAGACAACAAGGAAAGGTTTTAGTGATCACAGACAACAAGGAAGGTTTTAGTGATCATACAACAAGGAAACATTATAGTCTATATACATTGAGGTAGTTCCAATGAAATGATTCAGTGTAAAGTTTCTGTTGTCTTCAGATGCATTATAGGATAATACTGCATTATCTTAAACTTTTATCTCAGCAAATTTTATTATTTCCATAGGTGTACCAATCTGTAATAGCTCCTCTACAACGTTATTCTTTACTTCACCTTCGCCATCACATAATATTTTTGTCACTTACATTGATGAATTATAATGTTTTAGGTTGGTCATTTTTTTCATTTTTCAAACTTTCATGGTTTTACTGAAATAAGTTTGAAGAAAAAAAAGGATTTTATCTCAAAGAAATCATGACTCACACATTATTGTTTCTTCTACTGATTTTATAAGTAACTATTCTTTTGCAGCTTCAGTGCAATATATCCCATTTGTGAAAATATGTGCAATAAATATAATCACTCAAAAATAACCTTTGTATTATAGGCAATGATTATTCTTACCTCCCTTGAACAATTTTTCATGGTATCCATATGACCTTGGAGTACTGATCTTGAACGGTGATTTTGGCTGGTATTTGTTTGGTCCATCTTTAAATCTTGTCCCAGGAATCTGATTAAGATCTTCATTTTCAAGATTTTTCCTCTTATTTGATTTGGGTTTTTGTCGTTGAGTCCAGGAGCTACAACACGACACCGGGGTACATGATGCCAGTGGCTGGCGTATTAGTGAAGACTGATGGTAGGTCAACAATGGCCTAATGTTATATGGAGCGGCACACTTCTTCGTGAGGTTAGAAACACAAGTAGAAAATGACACAGCACAAGGTGTTGTTAGACAGCTAAGTAATTTTCCTAAACTACATGCCATTTTGTTTCCTTTAAATGACAAGTTATCAGCTAAATCTCATCTCACTCAAGGATCATCTGAAAGAAAAGAAAGGAATGTAAATTTGCATCTGTCAATTGTATCATGTTTTTTATTATTTCTTTTAATTGTTACCCTACATCAGAAGGATATCTTATGACATGCATCATCCTTTATTAAACAAAAAAGTACACAAACACAACCCTCTTATCTCAGCAGGATCCATAACAAGAGCATGCCCATTTGCATTCTAATCGAGACAAAGGATATGTACAATGTTAATGTAAAATTCTGTCTAGAGCAGCAGTAAAACCACAATTTTTTTCTATTTTTTAGCTAAGATTTGAATTACAACTCTGTCGTGTTGTATGGCATCACAATTACATTGACAGAGTTTATATATACAATTTCTACATGCTAGAAAACAAGCCACATCCCTGTCCGAAATGTGGCTCATTTCCAAGCACGTTGTATTTTGGAAGAAGTCGTTTTAAGGTTTTAACACATTTGACCCCTGTGACCTTGAATATGGGTCAAGGTTTTTTTTTTGCAAACTTTGTTGGGCTTCATCAAAAGAACCTTCCAGCCAAATATGTTAACTCTACGCCTTTCAGTATTTCAGAAGAAGTTGTTTAGATTTTAAATGAAAAGTTGATGGAGGCAGGACGGACAAACGACGGACACCTCGCTATGGCATAAGATCACTTGGCCCTTTGGGCCTGGTGAGCTAACAATACGGATACTACTACTACCAATATGATCACCCATATGTTGAACGATAATGTGGCTCAATTTTGAGCATGCAGAACTCATAATGTTAACTATGTCAATGCAACATATTTCTAATGTCTCGTTTGTATTGTCAATACCACATGATATAAGACAATTGTAATTATGTCATGGCTGAGCCTTAATTTTAATCTTAGCTATGCAAATATTTTTATTGTTGTTCTGTGTTATATATGTCTCTGATCAAATAAACAAGTTTTGATGGATCGATTTTCATTCAGTGGTGCAGGAGAAATAGAATACATGGTCAGTTACTTAGAATGTAAGCTGTATTTTGGTTCGGGACGGAAAGACAAAAGTGGTTACCCAGTGGCTCGCCACTTCTGTCTGTCTTCACCCTCGCCAAAATACACCTTTTTTAATGCACTGACTATGTATTCTCTTTATCTGGCTATTGAAAGAATCACGACTCCGAATTGAAACACAAAAATGAGTGAAATGAGGATACCAAAATTGTGACGTTTCACAAACATTTTTTGGAAAAATTGGGTCTGAATACTTTTCACGAGGGATTTTAGATTTTGAGAAAATTTCTCGAAAACTGTCACGAATCAGGCAGACAACTTATAATTTGTCGGTGGAAAGTTAAGATCGTCGGCCTGGGTTGGTTATGCATTGGAAGGTAACCTTGATTCTAGCATAGAACATTCTTATTAAATACGAGAAATCGGCAATTCATAACGAATGATGATATAATTAGTAATAAACGTACAAGATAACACGAAACATTACACCCACGTTTTTTCGTCCTTCTCGGTCCTATAAGCTTCTTTTTAACAGTGATCATCCTTCAAACATTCATGTGATCAATAGTAGACTAAAATATTTATTATAATACAATTCGCCCTTGTGGAAGGAATGGGGAATTAGCTCAAGTGGTAGAGCGCTCGCTTAGCATGTGAGAGGTACCGGGATCGATACCCGGATTCTCCACCTGTTTATTTTTGTGTTTTATCGTTCATATTTCTATTTATCTTTCTTTTATTTTTTTTTTCCATTTTGATGGTTCGAAACAAGAAAAACTATATGCAAAGACAATCCATGCATGTAATTAAGTGGATAATTTATTTTGTAAAAGACAGGCAAATATTCAACAATTATCAGTGATAAAAAGCTAGTACACATGAAGAAGAGACATTTAGATATTATATAGCATTTCAAAAATATTTAAAAACAAAATTGATAAGCCTACGCTATAAATCAAAGTACTGATAGACTGATAGCTATGTCGAGAGATTATTCTATTCTACATAAAATCATCTATTACGTGACTTTGCTCCATATTGTACACTCTTTATTGAATCAAACACCAGTTCAAATGGATAAATGAATTATTTACATATAAGCAAAGTTTGTAAACTTATTTTTTCAGTGTAATAAGGTGTAAACTAACTGCATAAAAACAAATGGCCTTGTATTGCTGGCCTGGTATTCATCACCAATGTGTAATGTTTTGTGATGTAATGTGTCTGTCCTTAAATTAATTTATCTTAAATTAAGAATTATGTCCGAATAATATGCTTGTAGAGAATAGTATTACATTTAAGTGTTATGCCAAGTTTTCCAGAGAGTGTGCATGGTCAATTTCATAATTCATGTACAACAATTCTTAAAAACCAGCAGTCAGCAAAACCTAGATTTGTTTGTTTGTTGTGTTTATCGCCCCGTGAACAGCCAAGGTCATCTTGAGGCGGGGGTCTCCTTGTAGTAGTTTGTGACTACCTCACTGAACAACACGCGGGAGGCCCGTCGTATGTCATCCAAAGAAATTAGGGTAAAGTGTCTTGCCAAGGACACAACCAACGACAGCACAGACCGGTCAGTCCTCAGGCAAAAAAATAGGTTTCATTTACTCTGAATGCTCTCTGAATGGCATGGAGAGGTCATCATCACAATTATTAAAAAAGATGTCAGGCTTGTTTTTTTCCCTTGGAGAACAAGTTGACAATAGGCATTAAAGATAAGGATTGATTCACATAAATTTGCTCGTACATGTAAGCGAGTAGTAGATAGCAGCTACTAGGAAAGATGAAACATTTTTTTTCTCCTTGGCAAAAATCACATTGTTTTAAAACAAAAATAAAAACACAAGAAAAATATATCTTTTTCAGATTTAATAGACTAAATACCCCAGATAAATTTTACATGATGAAATTGTACAATTAATCTTAGTTCAGAAGAGAAGGTACAATGTACATGATCATCGGAAGATAAATCTTTACTACAATTCCTACTGATAGATGTAAGGACCTGAAAACAAGCTAAACCAATAATAATATATAGCTGGACATCAGGATTATATATATTACAGTAATAATTCCATCAATTAATCCTTAGATACTACCATTTAATATTGTAATAATTGAATGATCATCATGCATGATTTCATATTTATATTGTGCAACTATCCAAATGGCCCTTTTCAATCCTTCCTGAAACTGATTTATCATAAAACCGAGTATTATCAATGTCAGTATAGTCAGCACATCAGTTTTAAATTTCCTGTCACGTTCATTTGAATCACAGTTTTCTGCACTCTTGACAAAACCAGTCACCTTTTGGTATTCTCCTATTTTTTACACACTTGAAGTGGAGCCATACATAGGGACAGTTTTCATTGTCGCATCCAATTACAGAATCTGTATCTGGGTTGTATACAGACTGACACACACATATCAACCTGTTCGAATCTTTACTGGTGTCCTGTACACTTACACTGGGAGAAATGTCTGTTCTTTGTTCCGCAGAGTTCATGATAGATGATGTAGCCAAAGGACGAGAGTATAGCTTTCTGATCAATTCAGGTAAAATCGCCCTCAAAAAGAAAGTCGACGACTTCTTCACAATTGCCTTGCAAAGTTCCTGGTCTACTTCTATTCTCTCTGCATGATAGTCCACATTTGTCCACACAACAAAGTCTGAGTACTCTTTCTCACAAAGAGCTGACACTGGATTTGGTAGTAATATTGGTGGGTCTTTTTTAATCTAAGCTGGTCCCCATGCTTTTCTAGACAGAAGTTGCTATCCAGTGAGTCTTTAATAACTGAATCCCTCTTACAATAAGGGCACTTGATTTCAATACATACTTCACCACAACAGTCACAGGAAGCAATACCATCTGGTGAGGCTCCAATAAAGGGATATTTCTCACTAATAACAAATCCACTGTCCCGTACACTGAAGTTTTCATGGTCCTTTTGCATCAGTTGGGTGTACGACTTGAGCGCCTCTTTTTCATGCTGACATCCCCATTTTGTCGCCTTTGTTGTGAACTTGTTCACGTTCGGATAGCAAATAGACTTCACTAAACTCTGTGAAGGGTTGTCCACTGATGTCTTGCACACGTTCTTCATCCGTGACGCAGTTATTCGTCCAGTTCTGAATCAATGCCATTCACGGCTCTTTGCTTGCTCGCGTGTAAGTTCTTAAACATTTTTGATTTCCTCTGGTTCAATCGTAATGTCTTTCACAACTTCCTCGCAATGTTTTAGCAAATGTTCCTTGTCTACATTTACATATTTCTCATCCTGCAATTCTGACAAGACTAGTGGATATTTCTTGCTCAGCACATTTGGAATGTAGTGTTCACTATACTCTGGTATAAGAGACAACAACACTGGTCTTGATCCAGAGGAGTGTAACGCAGAAAATAAAGTTCTGAGTTCATCACTTTTGGTTTGGCAACATCTGGGACAGATTTTTTAACAGGTGGAGTGAAAGATGCGTTAGCAATACATTTATCCAACTTCGTTTTCTTGGTTTTGGCTGAGGTGAAGTCAATTTCCCGAACTGTCTTACCTTTGACTTTCTTAACTGAGGAAGGGAGAAGCCAATACGCCTTGTCTTGTGTAACTGTCTGAGAGTCTCGGAGTTTCACTGACGCATCACACGCAAACATGAGTGCACCGACATGACTACAAGACTCGCCAAGTCCAACCCTACAGTTACAATGGGCAGCCATGACCTTACCGTTATTCTCTGCTATCAACCACGGGTGTAATGGTGAGTCATTCATACACTGAGAATGGCGGACTCGTGCCGATATCAGGCGTAAATCATTATCCATCTTCACAGAACCGAGATCTCTCACCCAACCACTGACGAAATAGTTGTACGATTCTAGCGATTTATAAGCCTTCAAATCGTCCAGAGTGTAAGCACTTTGAGTGTTGACTAAATATTTCACGATATCTGGGTATGCGATGGCAGGCAGTTCGTGGACATCGTCACTCCATTCTGACTTCGTAAGTTCGTATGGGTCCTTTCCACCGATAATGCTGATTTTCTGGTCATATGTGGCTTTAGAAATCACATCCGGGGTATCTCTGTAACGTTCCTTACTAGCAAGCTTCGGTTTGGAAGGTTTGTAATCACTCATCCTTGTTGACATCAAAGGTCGAAAATTTGCATACAAAATAACGCCCACTGATTTTCCGCTTGACCTACAAGATGGCGGCGTTCAATCGAAGTGTCCGGATGTACGGATCAGTGAAAACTAACAATTAATTATTCCGTAGTTGTCTAGATAAGCGCTACCTGTAGTCATTTGTCCGTATCGTACTGTATTGTACACGTCACAGATCACGTGCACGTGCTATTCGTTACTGAAGTAGAACACTCTCTAAGAAGGAAAGGGGTTACTGTACAACCCGCTAAGAGCTGCTTGACGTCGTGTAACACAAAGTTATATACGTCTCTGTCACCACAATACCTTGCGCGTAACGACATTGTCACAAAGGAAAGTCAATGTATATTTAATAAATACATTCAGATAACTTTGAATCGATAAAGTGCATGTTTTACTGTACTATAACAATGAAAAATATCTGCTTTTTTGCATGTAAGGTTCAAGTTAGAATTTATCAATTTAAATTCTCAGTATTCATTGAACTCATACAGTATAACATATATTAAGGTTGGCGTTGATCTGTTTGGTTGTTAGGAAGGATATATATTTCCAAGGAGGAGAGTATAGTAGAGTAACAAATGGCTGTCTCTCAGAGTTAGACGATAAAATAGACATTTACTCTGAGGAAGCCAAGTCAAAGTGCACAGACATGAACATTAAGATAAACAATGTTAGAAAAGCATTGACCTTAGTTGAGACAAAGGAGGAGATTCAGCTCTGGTCGAACATTTACGAATGGTTAAAGGCGACGGAGAAGTGAAAGAGATGATGAAAATAAAACCCTTGCGAAAAATGGGATTATATTGTCCGCGTGGACTGTTGATGTGAAAAATGAATTTTTCCAATAAAGTACGAACTACTAAAGCGGGGAAACATGATGATGACGATGACGATGATGATGATGACGATGATGATGATGATGATGATGATGATGATGATGATGATGATGATGATGATGATAACGATGATGATGACGATGATAATGATGATACTAATGATGATGATGTTGATGATGTTGATGTTGATGATGATGATGATTATGATGATGATAACACCATCCGTGTGTAAAGTTGATGACTGAATGAACTTTTCCTAAGTATGATTGGATAAAACAGCACAATGTACTGTATGTATCTGACTTGTTTATTGTTATCTACTCTGTACATAAAGGTTACAACTAACTACTGTACATGTACTTATGTTAGCGTAATATCAGTTTTTTGTAACTGTAATAGAAAAGAAAGCTGGTCCCGAACGTTAATATATGTACGTTTACAGTATTTTGTTTCATTTAGGGTTAAACAACATGTTTCTGCCATGTATTTAGGGCAAAGAATTGTACCTGCTGCCCAGTTGGATGATTGTTGGAGGCTTGACTGAATTACGATCTGATATTTTCTCTTTCTTCTTTACAATGTTTTCCAATGTCATCCTTAATATTTCCTCATGTCCATTAGTTGAGCATTAACGATTTAGGTTCTGTCCCTTACATACCAGAGTTTATGAAAATGGTACTTACTATTTCCTACTGTAAGCCTAATACAAGTCTGACAAGTGGTTCTCTCGTTGTCAGTATATTATTAACAGATAGGGAAGCCTTCAGCAGTGTACTTCAGTCTGTTACAGTACCAAACTAGTACAAGGAGGCTTCCACGAATAAGCTTCCATCCACTTGCACTTGGCTCACTCTGATAAGGAAGCATTTTTTTTAAAAATGAGTATAACTGTTGACGGACGTTAAACAATATATAACCATTAATCTCAAATCATGCGTTTTACTGGACAGATAAGGAAAAACAAAAACAAAAACTGCCGTTATGAAATCCTGAACTTTTTTACTCGATTTCTTCTAGGTCGTCTTTATCTTCTTTTTAATTTTTTACTTTATTACTTGGTTCATATAAAATATGCATGCCGATTTTTTAGAATTACAAACATGTCTGTGTGTACTAATGGCGCACATTCAGAATTATCATAGTTGAGCACTGGTAGAAGGTCAGTGTGCGATACAATGCGACGTTTTAGTTTTTAGATTAGTTATCATTTTTCTATGTTTGACTTTTGAGTTATTACAATACTATTATTATTGATGATTTTCAAGCAGTCTGTGCCCACACCATGAAGTAATTTATCAAAAAAACCATATTTATTTTTTCTACAGTTTTTTAAGTTATAAGTATGACTATATGTTGATATTTCATTAAGGGGGAAGTCGTTTGATACACATGTGGCACTGCACAGTAAAATAACTTCATCTGTTGATACCTCCTTGAGAATAACAGAACGTAATTCATTATGATAAAGCGTAGAACACAGGTGATTGTGCTCTTTAATCAGACATGTGTCAGGGGATGCTGTTTTTTGTTGTTAATATACTATAGGGTACTAACACGTCACATGGTATTTTATCATCATACTGAAATGTTTTAATCATGCGTATGAAAAATCATCACCAAAGTAAAATTAATTATTTTTCAAACTTATTGCGTCGCTCTGTATTTTTTGTCATTTTGAATAAGTATCCGAAACCAACTGAAGATTTAAACAAACAACTGAAAAATGCTTCTAATTTGCTCCCAATTTTATTTTGAATGCTTTTCAAAGAACAAAGACAATGCCAATGCCGAAGTTGTACTGAATGAATCTATGACTAAATTTCAGACAGACCATTAGAAAATACATGAATGAATACGTGTACATGTCTGTGTGTTTCTAGAGTCGATCGTTGTATGACTATGGCAGTGCCTATTTCATTTCCATATATATTTACAATTAAATAAATCAATGGTACAATATATAGATTACAATTACATGTCCTGGTTCTGTAAGTCCTGAATTTCCCTAGTCGGTGTGCGATATCAGTGTCTCTGGTTACAATTGGCAATTTTACTTTTCTCGAAATAAAGTCTACCACCTTGTCGTTACACTCGTCTACCGTCTCCCTCTCATCTGTGTCTGGTGGCCCAGCGATCCGTATGGAGTTTTTCCGGCCGTGTTGCTCAAGATCATTCTGTTTTGACTCTAATTCCTCGCATCTAGCAACTTAGCTTTCCAGAAAACGGACCCTGTCTCTCAGACTGTCGTTTTCTGACCCCAGATCATAGATCCTTGACTCAAGCTTCTCTATCAGGCTCTTATTCTCCTGCTTGATGCCTCGTCTCAAGCTATACAACTTAGTGTCCATAAATTCTTTTGTCACCATGGCAGATAGCATGCTGTGAAGTCTCTCAGCAGTAGATTTCCTTTGCTTATCCAACCAAGTATCACTCTCTCTACTACTCTGGTTTCTGGTCTTAAGTCCTGAAGAGGCTCCTGGCGTAGGTTTTATAGTGTTCATGATAAATATATGTATATCACTGTCCGATACAGGAACAATGTATACTAGTATAACACAGGTATAGCATATAAACTTTATTTATTTTTTACAACAATTGCGAAACACGTTATGTCAACTTATACTAATTACTCTTGTTGGCCCGGATGTAAGCACGCGAGGGGTCTTATTGCGGGAGGAAACTGGAGTACCCGGGGAAAACCAACGTGGTCGGGCAGGTGACCCCTTACCTTTTCACGTCCTTTCCGGGAATCGAACCCCGGTCGGCTAGGTGAAAAGTGAGTGCGTTACCACTGCGCCACCCGACCATCCAGGTATAGCAAGGTGAGTTGTGGTCACCGTGGTCAGTTCAAATCGTGCCCATAGTAAGTCCAAAAGTGCGCTAAAATTCCAAAATTTCCACAAAAAAAGTCTCTCGAATGGTCAATGAAACAATTGAATGGGTGGAGGTCACGTGACACTTGGTAATGGACTGGTCTTTTCTGAGCTCCGCTAGAAGGCCTTGATTTAAGGTGTTTTTCCACGGTTTATACCCGAGAAATTTGTCATGAATGTCTAGTGTAGTTCCATGGAGTTGTTAGTCGTAAGTGAAAGATAAAAGGTCACATCTAAAAACGGTCACAAATGAAAATGCCACGCCGGTTCTACCAACTGTGGCAAAGAAGCATGCTTCGAAAGCTCAGTGACAGACACCGTATTTAACATTATATACAAACCACACCAGCCCACTCCTATAACACAACTATGGACCAAGGGGAACATGCATAAAAAAATTGAGAGGGACCAATCTAGTACCTCTCGAGAAATAGCATTAGAAAACGTGTTAACGGACGGACGACGGACGTAGGGCGATCTTATTCCTGTTTGTGATGATATATCTAGATTTGTTTTCGGTAAAGAGACCATCGACCGTCTGTATGGACAGGACTTATGACTCCTAGATTGTTTCATGAAAACCAATATACACAAGATGGTTATATATATATTTAATTTATGAATTGTACAATTTGTTTAATTTCGCTTCACATTTCGTCATTAAATTTATGTGGATATGTCAAGGTCCAGCTGCTAACGATCAATTGATGTCGTTCATAGGTTTTAAGTGATGATGTTTCTGATAAATCAAAATATGGTTGATGTTACCTATTAGAAATGTAAACGATAGATCGTACATAGTCACAGCTCGTTCAACCGTGGCAGTGTAACGTGTTGTTAAACTGGGTTATGATCTGATACAAGACGGTAGCTACATTTTTCAATACCTGTAAAAGCAGAATGTCATCCCAGGAAGGCAGCCGTAAACGAACTGCTCAACTACTGAAACTATGTTTCGTTGTTATGTTATTCTTTGTAACGTTTCAGTTTATATTTTATTTGGTCGTTCAAACAAAAATTATAAGGAAAATATACACTAATATCGACATAATTCTAAACGAAAGCGGCAGTTTTCTTGAAAAACTACATTCAGGTTTTGATATAATGGAAACACGTGCTAAATCTGCAACCGCCATCAGGAATGCAAAACACATATATCTTATCAGAACACCTGAAAATGCAACCAGGATTGTTGAAAATGCAACTCCAGTTCCTGCGAATGAATCTGCCATCAATGGTACAAGAGCTCTTCCATCATGTCCTCCTACCCCGCCAAATAGAGGTAAGTTTTGCGTGGCAATGCAAGATGGATATAAAGAATCTTGATTTACAAATAAGAAATTTGTTAAACATGTAAATTAATTAAAAGGTGGAAAAGTACGAGTTATTGGTGGAGAAACAGAATTTACAGATGGATAAAAATTATTTTACAAGTCAAACATCAACAACCTAACGCGTTATCTTTTGAAATGGACACTGATACTGTTTGTGTCGATAAGTACCGTTAGGTGAGTTTTCCATTAGTCGTCGAGCACTGGGTTGGCAGTAGCCTTCGTATGCGTTAACTGAACTATTTGTCACTCAAAAAAACAATTAAATCGTTTTAAGACTTCCTTTAACACCCATACCCAATGTAAATGCATAATGAGAGATATCTGTATGTCTGAAAAAGTTTAAATCTGTACGGGAAGAAACCTATAAGGTAAAATTCGTCTATCTGTGCTGCTTGGTTATTTTATTTCATTTTTTGACGTTGTTAATTAACAGATTATGCAAACTTTGAAATATAAAATATAAAACAAAAAGTACACCATTTGAAATAGCTAGAACAACGAGGAACAAAATCTTTAAACTGTCACTGTTGACACACATTGTGAACCAGTTGACACGATAAACGTCCGTGCCAATAGTCATTACTCTACAATTAGGGATGGTAATAAATAATTAAAATTTTCGTATACTTATATAGAACTAAATACTATGTAACAAAACAATTCTGTGTAAGTTCCAATATACAAAACTGAGAAATATAATAACCAGTTATTCAATCTGGTGTGTAATTGTTAACTGTCAAAAATATCATATTGATTCAAAATACAATTAAATCGTTTTATGACTTCCTTTAGCACCCACATCCAATTTTAATGCAACAGCTTTTCTTTAGAAGAGTAGAAATGTAGGACTGTATTTAGCACCATACCATATTGATTGCCGAATAGTTTTACAATGGAAATGAAGGTAGGCCCTGCCGTGCACAGTAACAACACGGACTTTGATATACATCCGTGCCAATACATTGTAGTTATACATCGTTACATCACATTGTTCACAACGCCAGCGTTCATGTAACATCTTGGTTTTTTGTAATTATCTAAGTTTGTTTTTTGATATGTTTAGTGACATGGTCTGTGTTCTTTGAAAATCGATTAAAATAAAATTGACGACAACTTCAAAACATGTATCAGCTGTTTATTCATATCTTCTGTCGTTATGTGGCGCAGTAGTAAATAATAGATTTGTTACATCCATTTGTCATTCTCAGATATCATGGCTAATTTGATATCAGTTGATTTACCTCTGCACTACATTTTCTTGTAGAGGGAGTCTATAATTGTTTATGTACTTTAAAAATGACCATGCATCTAGAATTTTATCGTAATATCTTTTTAATAGAATAAAACAGATTTTAAGTTGCATGGTTATCAATTTGTTGCGTATATTGAAAGAAAACAGGCACATTCTGACCTGCTATGAAGGACATTGTTTCTTGGTGGATAGAAATAAATAATACAGAAAGTTTTACCTATTTGTACTTTATTTTTGTATGAGTAAGACAATCTAGTATGCTTTCTTTGGTTGTGGATGGATTGCCTTCAAACGGGAGAACACTCGGAAGATAACCTACAAAATAGAATTGACCAAAGCAATCCAAAGCCTTTCATACAATTAAATAAATCTAAAAAATCTACTGAAAATAACTAATTATCACCAAAGTAAAATTAATAATTTTCAACCTTATTGCACATTTTAGAAACGTGATTATAATTGTCACTTAATTCATGCTGTTGACGTATATAACATGTCTCTACAATAATAATTATCTTAATTGAATACACAAGCTATATGTACGTATATGATGAATATATATATATATATATATATATATATATGGTATATGGAATATCAACTATCGGCAAGGCAATTGCTCAAATCCAAATGACAAGGTTGATATACAGAACATCGCCCACAATAAATATTTAAGATATAAATCTTTTGCATGAAGAACAACAAAAGTATTAATTATGTATGTTTGTGAGTGTATTTCATAAAACATGTCGACAGGTATATAAACAAAAGAGGCATTATCATATGATATTTACAAACGATGACGAAATTGATAAAGCTTTATCAAAACTTTACGAAATGATCATCAATATTACAATCAAAATTAAACATTAAGACATTCAAACATTTCCTATGATATATGGAATATGTTTCTTCATACTTAACAAAGTTTATAGAGAATGAAATTGTTTGAAAGGTGACTATTGTTTAAGCATATCCTTAAACATTTATATGTAAAAAGATGTGTCATGAATAAAAAAATGCAAGAAATGCCAGCTGCTGAGTGCAAACAGATTAAGTTTTCCAGGTAAGTTTACCTGTTTAAACTGATACTACTTTAAGAGAAAGACTATAATCACTATAAAAACTTTCCTGTAGGGGATTAAGATGTTGGCACTCAGATATACACCCCATGCAGTTTAATTTTTTTAATTTCAATTTATTTATTTCTCTTTAACCATACAGTACAGAGAAAACATATTTACAAAGCAACAAAGTTAAATAAAGTTGTTCAGCCAGATAGAAAGTATGAATACATACATTGTATACCATGTACATGCAACATAAGTTATGATATAATAAGTTTGTATACATGTTATTACTTAATGATTAATATATCGTATATATATTGTACATGTATACCATAACATATCATTTCACAGTACAAGTGATACCATTCAAATATATACATATTAATCATAAAACGTCAAAATTAGAACTGAAACAGCTCAGTTCATGATTTGTACTGTATTATGGATGACAGATATTAATAAAGATGATTCTAATAAATTTACAAAGTTTTTTCAGAGTTTTATCGTGTTTAGAGTTAATAAGATCTCTAAATTTTAATACATTGTATAATAATATTTGTTTACATATAATTTTCTATGCTCAACAAGTGACTGGCATTCTAGCAAATAGTGGAATTCGTCCCCTATTTGTTGACTATTACAAAAAGTACAAATTCTTTCGTGACGTGCAGTGGCTGTCCACATTTGTACATACAGGTTGAGGCTTCCTTAAGCCATTTATAATTCATTTGTTTGTTTATGTATTCAATTTCGTATTTTTAAAACAGGGAAAAGCGGTTGTAATTTGGGTGTGTTCCCTGAACGCCAACATTTCTAAAACAATAGGTTCAGATATCAAAGGGACAGCAATTATAGTCTGTATCATTATATACATCTTGTTTTACCTGAGATTTTTACCTGTGTTTTACCTGTAAAACTTCTATAGTCTAGTATAACAAGTATAGAATATATATAGTATATAGTCTTAGATACATTTCATTACTTTTATTATTATTATTATTTATTTTACATATATATTTATATAAACTTACATAATTTTACTCCATTTATTTTACACAAGCACTATTTTCATACTATATATAAGTATGATGCACTAGTTTCATACTTATATATTTTGTACAAACAATTTATAAACTTACATAATTTTACAAATATTTACATTCACACATTATTTTTTTACGTACCTATTTTATGGCTTTTATTTGAAATAAATGAAGTTTCAAGTACTTGTAGCTATGAATACTATCTCAGTAATATACAAATATACAAATATTTCAATTTACATTCACACATTATTTTTTCACACAAACACTACTTTTATACATACATATTTCATATATGTTTATCGGTAATACACAATTAGTTACAATCACTGTTCATAAAACTATCCAAGATGAAGTAACTCTGATGCAGCGTCGGCGTAGGTCATAATGTCGATTATGTTGTTCTCGTATCTGGTTTTCAATGTCTGCCATAGCTGTCTTTAGTAACGTGAAGAATCTTGTGTAGATCGTCTGACTTTTTCCGGGTAAGAGGGCGTAGATTACTGGGAACATGGATCCGTCAATCTCGATGTGGATGCTGTATATTTGGTGGAAAAGGCTTGGGCAAGTGTAGAAGGTCCCGTCGCAGAAAATCCTGTCGGCAGTTGCTAGGTTGGTCAGGTTGTCTGTGGTCGCAAAGGCTAGGATCCGAGATATGTCTCCATCATCAATGAAAAGGAAGCTGTCTCCGGTAGCAGTTTCGGTCCATCTCCCCTCCAGCTGTATCTCGTGCGTCGTTGTCGGTAGCTTTGGTGTCTGTTTACGTCTGGCTCTGTATAAAGTTGACTTCAAGGAGTTGAATGTGGGTATCCTCTCCACTACTGCTAGGGCGGCAGCATCCCACTCGGTGTCACGTAGGCTGTTGAGTTCCTCTTGGTAAATGCTTGGGATGGGTCTGACCTCTTTCTGGCTACGGGTAGTGATGCTGGACATAATCTCGCTGGCAACGACGGTGGCGTGGTCTCCTGGGTGGGTGTGTTGATGTTGTCCATGTCTTACGATGATGTTGTTCCTGGTAGCGATAGTAGCTGGGCAGTTGGCGATGGTGCACCTCCAGTAAGTCCTTAAAAAATATATAATAATGAGTACATTTTTGTAATCATTATTTCGATGCAAGTTATAAACTATTATTACCTTTAACAAATTATTTTTACAATATATATTTTACTGGGAATTTATTAATAAGTTTAAAATTGTTTACAAATTTTAAAGTCCAACATTATAAAATATTATGATATTATACATATTTTCATTACCTTTCCCCTCGAGAAAATTTTACTCTATAAATATAGCCTTGATAAGTCAAGTTTTGACCTCCTACTCTGTTTCTAACAAATCTAAAATCCAACTGACCATAAGCCATTTGAATAGTAGCAGAAGAAAATGAGTTGTGATGTAAAGCAGGATATTTCCGAACATTTATACTATTTTGTGTCAGCTTAGATACTCACCTCTATCTGCCAAGCAGGAAAAGCTTGCCATAATTAACAGTTTTTGTCGCTGCATTTCAATTAGATGAGGCATATGGTTAATTGTAATAGTGTTCACATCTTTGGATAACAGTTCACATTAATACTATGTGA